TATCACAATAAGTGCCCACCCCTGAAAGATATGAAAAATAGACAAAGGACATATCAAGCCCCCAACTTAGGCTTCTGGGCTTACCTACCGTAGAATACCATGCATCCGCCTATTCCACACTAAGTGGCCACCCCCAAAATTTAAAGCATCTGAAAAAATATGCACAGTAATATATATACGCAAAATTGAAGACCTCACATTCACCCATCCCCTATTTTTTAGCGATTATCTTTAAATTTCGAGTGGGTGCTTGCTCGGTATTTTTTGGTAACTAATTGAAATGCTTCTCCACGTCAGCTCCTTCTCTGTCCATGCCAGTGCAAAGCAATGAAGCCCACTCTATCATAGGCCCCTTGTGCAATCTTGAACTCTGGACCTAACAAATGCTCAATCCCCTCAGTTTTCCAAGATTATCTCTGAAGTTTTGGGGTGAGCACTTGCTTAGTATTTAACAGTAAGCCAGTAAAACAAAGTCTTGTAATGAGGCGAATGGGGCACAGTAAAGTACAGCAGTATAGGATGTAAGAAATCACTTCTTCTTTATCTGGTTGCTTGAGCTTTTTATTTTTAGATGCTCAAGAATGCAGTACTACTATGGATGGTATCTACATTTATACAAATCAAAGTGGCAATACAAGCCATAAACAAGGACAGACGAGGGTTGGTTTCTTTGTTGAAAGTAGTTTCTATAAATGTTTAGTTAAAGTTCATTGCATCGTACATACACACAAAAAAGGCCAAAAGGTCTACTATTTTTCACCAAAAGATATTTGGCTTGCATTTATTGTTGTCTTTTGGTAAATACTGCAAACCAGAAATCTTATTTATAAGCAGCATTTATTTGTGAAACGCAAATGTCGACCAACATTTAGTTAAAAATTAGGTGTTTCATTTAAACTGAAAACAGGCGCTTGACTCAGATTGACCTTTTATATGTTTCTGGCACATGCTTATTTGCATTTTTCATTATCCACTGAAAAACCTGCAATTCATTATCCAGACCTGGCTATGACCAGTTCTGCCTTAGCATTTTCGAGACTGCCAAGTCGCTTGTCTTTTTGCAGTCTGAGCAAGCAGTTGGTTATTGCTAGGGATGCCGCAAACTTTTTTTGAATTGAAGTTTCGATGATCGAATCAAGCGGTTCGAAAGGTTCGAAAAATTTTGATTTTTCGAATTGTCTACATCGTAAAATTCGACAAAAGTCGAATTTTCGAACTTCTTGAGCTAAGAAGTTCGACGCTTTTCGAACCGTCGAACTTATTATGCTAAAAAATTCGATCTTTTTCGAACTTTCGAACTTATTGCGCTGCAAAGTTCGATGCTTGTCGAACTTCCGAACTTGACTGACCAAAAAATTCGATCAATTTCGAACTTTCAAACTTATTTATCAAGAAAATTCGAAAAGTTTCGAACTTTCGAATTCTGAAAAGTCAGAATTTCGACGAACTTCGAACTTTTAGGGTAAAACTTCGACGTTCGTCGAACTTCGAAAGACCAGCGGACGGTTTCATTTGAATTCAAGTAGTGAGGTACATTCATAGTTTTTTTTTTCTTGAACTTTTACACGTGGTGCTGCGTTCCTTACGAAAGACAATGGCGTTTGGTTCAATGTTCTGGCATGCTTAGTTTTAAAGAAATAAATTTCCGAAGGGGCGAGGAAGGACGACGGGTTTTTGATGATTATCGTTTGTGCCAGATTTGAAGCGCGCTGTAGCCGAAGCTATTTGTGGTAGAGATGTTATATTTTTTTTTAAGAATGATCTATGTATAGCCTAGGTAGGTGCCGTCTTAAGATGTGATTATTGTTTTTCAACGTGAGTTTCGAAGGAATGTCCAAACATGTATCTACATGCAATTATGCCCTAAACTTGATATTTATTTTTGTCTAAGTTGTTTGAGGTATCGCATTTAAATTAACATCACAGACAGTACATATCATTGCCATCTGCAGAATACAAAATAATGTATTTATTGTTTTTTCACGTTAAGGAATAAATTAACTCATGGGAGAAGATTTCTAATAGTGTTCAAGTTCAGCACGTCATTGAAAGAAATCTTTTTTTTTTTTCGCTTCACGATCCTGGGACGTGTTTCTACTTTTAGCCTGTACAGATTTTGGTAAAAGAAACTTGTTCCGAAGTTCTGAACCTCTGAATACTCAAGAATACAACACTTCCGGCGAATTCTTGATAGTTTTTTTTTTCTCCAACTTTTTATCCCCGCATTTATTCTTTTTTTTTTTTTTTTTTTACTATTGGCACAGGTATTTAGGTCGAAAAGACAGCTTTGAACTTCCGAACCACTAAGCATGTGACGAGTAGTGCCTTCTGACAACGAGTTTCTAACAATGACCATGTACGCAATCTTTTATGCAGTGAAGAGCGACAGTAGCTATACATATGCATAAATAATTTCAGATTAAAATAAGCTCGACCACGCCCTCTTTCCCCGTATTGTTTTCTTTAACAGTCCGAAATATCTGGAAAGGGGAGGGGAAAGGAACTGAAGCCCCCCCCCCCCCCCCGCTACCCTCTTACCCCCCGTTTTTCCTCTTCCGTCGCCACTTGTATGGTAGAACGCTCCTCAACCTCGAGTTGTGTCGGCTTTTTGCGAGACGATTCCTTTGTCCCAGAGAATAAACCTCCAGGACAATTAAAACTTAACTTACTATATGCCAGCGTCACCCGGGCGGCGTTCGATCAGATTGCTACCAGCGTGCAAGGGGTGGCGAGGTAGTTTGCCAGGTCGCTTCAAGGTTTTTCTGAGCCTCAACCTCCTGCCCGCCCCTGGCCGTTTCAAACTGGATGAGTCTCGTAAAACAGTGTGTTCGAGTGATCACTACTGCGTGATGCAGGTTAAAGACTCCCCCCCCCCCCCTTCTCCACCCCGGGCTGGCGGTCACGATTACTGAACCATGGTCACACGTCACCCTGCACTGGCAAATATTCCAGCACATCCGGGACACTCGTCGCCTCATTTAATTGCGTGACCAACTTCGCAGAATCTAGATCACACCCTAACTTTTCTAAACTTGATTTTGTAAAAAGTGAGTCGTGAAAACGTCATTTGAAACAAACTGTGGAGGAACTTGAAAACCGGACTTAGAACTTTGAAAACTTGGACTAGAAAGAAATTCAAAATCCTTGAAGTTTTTTGTTTTTTTTTTGTCGATTTTAGCATTAAAAGAGAATCGAAACCTTCGAACTTTTCGAACTTTATGCAGAAAGAAATTCGAAATGTTCGAATTGTTCGAACTTCATGTCTATAAAAATTCGAAGCGTTCGAAGTTTTCGAATTTTATTTCCAAAGAGTTTCGAAATCTTCGAATTTATCGAACCTGAAGTAAAAAAATATTCGAAATATTCGAATCCGAAATTTTAGAAACCGTGAAAGCTTCGAACTTTTCGAAATCGAAACTCCACTGTGATCGAAAGTTGCGAATTTTTCGAATTCGAACCTTGGTCGGTACGAAAATATCGAAATTTTTCGAAATCGAACCTCAGTTCGCTTCGCAAATATCGAAACCTTTCGAAATCGAACTTGGAGTGGTTCGCGACATCCCTAGTTATTGCTCCACGTTTCAAATGAATCTTTATAACATACTTGTAATTAAATTATTTGCATTCAATCTGCCCCCTATTTTACAAAGACAAATTTTAGAACTGTGGACAATTTTTCAAGGTGTGCAGTAGTAATGGTGCATTTTGATCTCGAAAAAACCAAACCTCATCAGCTGTAATAGAAGTTCCACCACAATAATAAAAAAAAATCGGGGTACGCTTTATCGGGGATGCTGCTGCAGCAGGGTATGTGAAACATCTTGCACATGCTGCAGAGGGTGACACACTTGTAAGCCTCATAAGCACCAGTTTGAGTTCAATGAATTATGCCTACTATGGGCAGAGTGAGCTCTCTCAAATGCGACCACTTCCGCTCGGATCCACAAACGCGCTGCTGAACGACGCCTCTGGGAAAGCGGCACGCGAGGCTAAATTTAGCTTCGATTGCATTATGCATGGCCCCACAACAATTACAAATCTCACGCGAGACACATGCGTGATTCAGTAATGGCTCTTTTAGAGCGCAGCTCTTAGGGGCCCGTTTCCGGCTTGAGTGGCGTCGGCGTAACCGCGTGGTGCATTATGGGAAATGTCCCATAATGTACCGTGCGAGCCCCCCACCGGGGTCACGTGACCTCGTGGGGGGCACGTGACCCCCCCCCCCCCCCCCGACGTCACGTGACCCCCGAAGTCACGTGACCCCCTCCTCGAGGTCACGTGACCCCCGAGGTCACGTGACCCCCCGATGACGTCACCGGCATCCACATCGTCATCATCACTGATGACGTCATTAATGACGTCACTGATGACGTCACCGGCATCCACATCGTCATCATCACTGATGACGTCACCGGCATCCGCATCGTCATCATCACTGATGACGTTACCGACATCCGCATCGTCATCGTCATCATCACTGATGACGTCATTAATGACGTCACTGATGACGTCACCGGCACCCACATCGTCATCGTCACTGATGACGTCACCGGCATCCGCATCGTCATCGTCGTCATCACTGATGACGTTACCGACATCCGCATCGTCATCGTCATCACCACTGATGTCGTCACCGGCATCCACATCGTCACTGATGACGTCATCAGTGATGTCACGATGACGTCACCGACATTCGCATCGTCATCGTCATCATCACTGGTGAAGTCATCAGTGACGTCCCTAATGACGTCATCGGTATCCGCATCGTCATCGTCACTGATTACGTCATCAGTGACGTCAGTGATGACATCATCGGCATTGGGGGGTCGCGTGACCTTGGGGGTCACGTGACCCCTCCCCTGGTTAGTTGAACCCCCCCCCCCAGTACCCTTCCCTCCTCCCCCTCAAGAGCTGCGCTCTAATTCGGCGTTACAGGGAGTTGTAAGCGGCTTTCACTTTTTTCTCTACACATTGATGCCAAACGTGCACAGGCAGTATGGTTGCAAGGATATGAGCAATATTATGGCGCGTTCACACTGGAAGCGGATCCGCGTTCGCGAAGCGGATCCGCGCGTTCTTAACCGCAAAGCGGCTAGGATCGAGCGGTTGGAGCGCGTTTTTGCCAACCGCTTCGGGACCGATTTCTCCCAATCGCTTTCACAAACCGCAAAGCGGCAACCAATCACAACGAGACGCTGACGTGACGTCGTTGACTTTCGAAACAAGATGGCACCTGTCGCTGGTGAGGCGTCCAAGGCGCTGTAGTCCTAGCGCTGTAGTCTTAGCTTTCGACAAATCAACGGAGAAACTTCATATTCACGTCTGTCACTTGAATCCGCCGCGAAAAGAATTGACTCGTAAATTTAACGCACTTCGCACCGGTGATTTGGTTCGGGTAAGAGTTTGTTGATTATTCCGGGTGCCACGGCCCAAGCTCGCTGCCTTGTTAATCTCTGCCTGTAGAACGTCGTAACCCGCCCCTGATCGACCAAAATGTCAGCTTTTCTACCCACTAGTATAGTCGCGTGAACTATTGAAAGCTTTCGAAACCGTGTATGACTACCACGAAGGCCGATAGGGACGTCGTGAGCTTGATTGCGTAGCCAACGCACTACCGCGGGGGGGGGGGGCAGGGTACCTGCGCTAGCTCGACCCGTAACGTTTGCTACTAATAAAATAAATAAAGGGAACCTACTCAAGGAATAAAGTGTACGTTACGTACCAGACAATGCAGAGGTAATCCATACGGCGTTTATTTGAGCTTAATGTCAAACAAACAGTAGACTCGATCGACGAGCGAGTGACGAGAGGAGAGTCCGCCACCAACGAAGCCACGACCGGCTAGCACCGAACAAATTCCCCCGCACCACGGTCCAGCCCACCGCCCACAACTTCGAAAATGATAAGAGCGAACAACAACGAGGGGGGAAAACTGGCCCTCTATCCCGAAAACAAGGTCAGCTATTCATGCGGGAAGGGTCCACTTCGAAGAAAAGGTCGGGGGCATCCTGTTCTGAGTCAGCAAGGCGCGTCTAGCTGGGCTTTGCGTGTGGGAGAAGTCGAGGGAATCACAGACGAGTTTGGCGGGTCCATGCTTCTTTTTTCGCTGCCTGAACTTGTGATGCGCGCGGACATATCCCGGAGAAAAATATTCCGAGTGCCAAAATAGCAAAAGTTTGGCTTTGGATCTTGAATTAAAGTGGATTGTGGATTGTAAAACAGGGTTGCCAAACGCAAGTCTCACAAGATCATGCGTGATCGCCGAGAAACCGCCAACCGCCTCTCGGTGTGTCTAAACGGGGTCGCTCGCGAGCCGCATCCGCGACCGCTTCGCGAACGCGGATCCGCTTCCAGTGTGAATGCGCCATTACTGTTACATGTTTTCATTACGTGCGGTCTTAGCGAGTGACCCCCTGCTGACCGAAATGAGAGACATCTCACATCAAAATCAAAACTTTGAAGGCTATTACCCAATCTACCAAAGTGGGTGTCCACTACAAAGGAGTGCTTGAGTGATGAAGTTTTTGTTAGGTGTATAACCAAGGACTGGTGAACTAGAAGTGCTTCTGTGGTGCTAGTACAAACCAGAGAAATTAGCAAACACTGCATTGTTTGCGAATCTTCATTTGTGCCCTCATTGTTTTGAGCTCTTCTTCTCATTCACTGTATGTCATGCAGTAAGAAAGGACTACTGCACAACTAATGTTGGAATGCCATAAATAGTTGGGCAGTCTTGTGATAGGTTTTTTTTTTTTTTTCAGATGGAAGATATGAGTGTTGATGCTGGAATCTCAGCATTTGAAAATGATTAATTTCAAAAGCCGTGCCGTAAAATACCTTGCAAGCGCCCACTCAAATTCTAAAGTTGAGGCTTGGGCGAGTTGGTACATACTTCGGAATTAAAAAAAGCACGGAAAGATGAGGACCAGACAAAGAAGTGACACGGACGTAGCGCTGCGTCCGTGTCACTTCTTTGTCTGGCGCTCGTCTTTCCGCGCTGTTTTTCATTCCATGACATATGTGGTTCCTGGTAGGACACCGTTAGAGTTAAGATCAACGTTGAATTTTATATACAAATTCAGAATCAGTAAAACTATTTATTTTACAGGTATTTGCTGTAGACGGTGGAGCAGTCCCCCAGAAAGCCTACACCAGTGTCACAGTGACGGTCCAAGACGTGAACAACAAAGCACCAGTCTTCGCAAAGGACACCTATGTGCATTGGGTCACTGAGAGTGAGTGCAGCTTTTGCTCTTGGTGTTCATGTGCACACCTTGTATTCTGGTGCTTAAAGACATGGATTCATGGACTTTTGTGGCATAGCACTTTGTGTGAAGTTTGGAATATAAGACTATTCTTTTTTCCCTAAAACAAGGTTTGCCAGTGGGCAGGGAGGTGCTGAATGTGACAGCAACTGATCCAGATTATGGGGCCAAGATCCGCTATACAATTGAAGAACCTATTACTGCCAGAGACAAGACAGGATCAGTAGTCATGTCCTCCATTGGATATAACTATAAGGTATGGAAGAGTATGCTACTACTTATTTGTTGCTGAGATGTCTTTTGTGTCATATGGCCTGTTTGCCTTGAGCTCAAATGCCTTTTTTTTACCAGTGGGGGAAGAGTTGTTCACTGAAATATGACTTATAATGAATTGTCTTTAAAACATAGTGCATTAATGCTTCCATAAAAAAATTCCAGCTCAGTGCCTGCCTAATTTAAACCCGATGCAGTGGGAATGTAGTATGTCTTGCACCTGCAACTGAGGACCAGGACCAAGTGCAGAACAAATGCAAGTGTCCCAAACACAATAATATTGTGTTTGAGATGCTTGTTTTGTACCTTGACCTGTTTGTGCTGAAGTGTATCTCCACCAGTTCCCCTTCCTATCTACAGTCATCTTGGAATTGGGAACCAGCTGATAATTATATCATCCATGACAAATTACAAGACATTATATTCCAATTTCAATAGATTAATATTTTTTGAAGGGACACTAATAAAGATCCTTTGCCACATGAACTTCATGTTGTAAATTTAGGTGAGCATGCTGTATTTCAGAGTCTCATATATTTTGCCAGAACATCCAGTTTCATTTTCTGTCAGTGTGATTTTTCTTTGTGTAAAAAGGAAGAAGGACACTGATGGGTGTGTTGTTTTTCTAGACACAACTTGAAACAACTGTTTGTTGGTATCTGTAGTCAGAAGTATTCATGCGTGTTCTGTTTTTGAGGATTTTGTTTCCTTCTACATAATATCTCTACAAGTATGCTTTATTGTTCCTTATTCTTCTTTGGAGTTTTCATGGCACTCGATCACGCTATTGTCGGGCGTGATCGAGTTACCTATAATATACAGTGTAGACCGCATATAACATATGTCGCGAAAATCCGCACTATAAGCGGTACCGCGCTATAACCAAAACACCAATTTTTCAGGCCAAAATACATGCCATGAGACAACTTACCTTTGTAAAACAATTTATTTTATGTTAGATGAAAAATAAAGCTTAGTTTGAGGAAATTCTTTATTTCACCAGACTAGTACACTTCTCTCTCAAGTGTGTCACACATTTTGAAAGAAATGAGCGACTTTTGCTTGGCGCAGCCTTTTAACGGCGTCGCGGGTTGCGGACGGACGTTGCGAGCGTTCAGGATTGCTAACCCTAATCACTTTTCTCCGGTGATAAAAGCGCGTAAAAATTCGCATCCCTTCTACGGTACGAGCCAGTAATACCTTCAACTTGAGCACAGGCATGAAATGCTCCAAATAAGAAATCTGGGCGATGTTCGAAAACACAAATGCTTAGAAAGCACCACCTTAGTCGAAGTAAACAAACACGACGACACGGGCGTTTCTGCCGTCTTGAGAGTGCTGCCGACATCGCCGCACGAATAGGTGGATCTTTCCTCCTAGTACGTGCTGGGTTATCATAGCGACACACAACGAAAATTCACAGTCAATGATAGCGCTTTATCGGGGAACAATGAGCATCCACCACACCGTCTACGTCGATGATCACAACCGACGCCATGTTTGCGGATAGAAGCAGCCGGCCCGCGACCGGCATGCAACGCGCGCGAACACTTCTCGACCTGTGATTGGTCTGTTGTTGCGGTTGTTTCGAACGCACAGGGCGGAGGGATGCACAGCACGCACGTGAACGACACGTGCGTGCGTCCCCCCGTCGCTATGGCAACTGAAGCCTCTCTCTTCGCTTCTCCCCGCTTCTTCGAGCAACCTCCTTGCCCCGCGAGTGCCGCTTGCGGGTAGCGCCGTTATCTAGTGTCGCACAGGGAAGCGTGCTCGCTGCGTGGGTTGGTCGCCGCGGTCGGCGGGCTGTTACAGAAACCGCACTATAACCGTTATTTCCCTTCGCGCACCTGCATTTTAAGCGGTATGTAATTACATGGAGTTCTATGGGAGGCGAACTGGTGGTTTAAAAAAGCCGCGTTATACCCGGTCCTGCACTATAAGCGGTTACGTTGTAAGTGGTCTATACTGTACCTATAATATAATATTATAGGTATATTATATCCCTATAATATTGGTACTTTTGTGTTTACTTTGTGTAATCTTTTGCAGAATGCTTTTCGAATTGATGGTGTGACAGGACAGATAACTGTCAACAGTCCTTTGGACTACAATGCTGCTTCAGTCATTACTTTCAATGTTGCGGCTGTGGACCAGAATGCCTCTCTCGATCCCCAGAAGACATCCGGTCTGAATCTTTCTTGTTACCGTTTTCTCTTTAACCGCATTGTTATGACGGAAACTTACAGATGTCTTCATTGTTTTACAGCGGAAGTAACTATCTACATCCAAGCTCACAGCGAAAGCAATCCCATCTTTGCTCCACCGTGGACCCCTGCCAACCCGAAGATAGAAATAACAGTGCCTGAGGAGTCTGTTGTAGGCTCCACCATCTTTACAGTCACAGCTCGTGACCCCCTTACTCATGCGGCAGTCACCAACTTTGCCAAGATTCCAGAATCGGATCAGGGAAGTTTCTTCTCAGTGAGCCCCATATCAGGTGAGGTGGACATCAGAATAAGCTTGGTGCCAGTCCCACTTCTCTGTGTTCACTACTGTTACGTGACAACTGCGTCTCGTCCCTAGGTGCTGTGACTCTAAACCAGAGGCTGGACTATGAAGACCTTCCAGAAAAAGTGCTGGCCTTTGATGTTAAGGCAGTCATAGGTCTCGACAAGAACAACCAGAGATCCTCCATTGCTACTGTCATCATCAACGTCCAAGACATCAATGACAACAGTCCTGTGTTTTCTCAGAACGTGAGTCTCAGTTCTTTGCAAGAACTTACAAATATAATTTGATCTATTCAAGGCATTTTTCTGCAATAGTGCACTTGGCACAGTGTTGATTGGATCAGCACACCTTTTGTCATTATGTTCTTTTCAGTCCTATGTAACCACAGTCTCAGAAGCCACCAAGTACCCCCAGACCATACTCCACATTGCAGCAACGGACAAGGATACTCAGCAGGAGTATGGTGTGGTGTGGTATTCCATCTCTGGGGAAGGAACCGACGTTTTCAGCATCAACGAAACAACCGTATGTCACAAATCACTTTTGCTCTCAGCAGCTTAAGTATGTTAACCCTCTTTTTTTTAACAATCACTACAGGGAACAATTGGAATTCAGGAGGGTGCCACCCTTGACAGAGAAAGGAAATCTGTCTACCATTTGCAAGTGACAGCCATTGACAATCCTAGCAGTCCCTCAAACCAACGCAGGACATCAGTGCTGGCAAGTTGGTTTTTTGAATGGAGATTCTCAGGTGCAGTGCCACGCAACTTGTTGTGATGTTGCTTTTTTGTTATTATTTCTAAGGTGGTGATCAAAATTCAAGATGAAAACGACAACGCTCCAGAATTCAGCCAGTCAGGTTACACTGCCGTCGTTCCTGAAAATGTCCCAACTGGCTTCAGTGTTCTGACCGTAAAAGCAACTGACAAAGACAGTGGTGTCAACTCTGAAATCAGTTATTCTTTCGTGGATGAGCCTGAGCTCGAACAGATCGGTGAGTGTGTTAATTAATATCTCGCATAATGAGACTTAACTGGTGATCGGGAGTGCATCCTCTGCTGTTGAAAGTGAGAATGAAGATGGCCGACTGATTGCTGAATTTCTGTGTTTTGCTGTCTATCACTAGGGCTGCAATCTTCGTGCCTGCAATGTGCGGTCACTTCACAGATTATTTTGTGGTAGAGTGCACTAAACTTTAACTACTGGTTTCGGCAACACAACCGACACGTGCACCAGTTTAAGGGCTGCCCCACCGAAAAATGCCACTCAGCAGTCGCACGCTGGATACAATTCTTTTGTGATGACACAATTGCAACTCCAGTAAAACAGGAGCCCCATCTTATGGCCCAATTAGTCAAATAAGAAAATGATGTTGCCTTCCTGCTCTTTATGTGCCCGAGAATAAATAAAGAAGGAATGAGTTGAGGAACTTAAAAAGAAGGGACATGGCTGCATGGCTTTTTGTTTGGTGGGGGAGGCAATCAACTGCTGGGGAGAAAGGAGGGATGCGAGAGAGCAAAAGAAAGCAGAAAGTGTAAAGAGTGTCATTTTGTTATTAGAAATGCCTACGATACTTGTATGCCACTTAACATAGGTGACATGAAATTTTATGATTATCACATTTTGTTGCACAGATTTTTGCTAGCTCATATTGAACAATGTAAGGTATAGTTTGCTTTTTGGTAGCATGTTTTTTATTACATTTCCCAGTACTTCATTTGATATCAAATTTTTAGCTAAAACTAATTCAATACTGCATACTGCATGGTTCTCCCCAGGAATTCTTGAGATCTGGACATCTGACAATTTCCAGGGTGTTGGGAAGAGGAAGCGGGGACAATTGCTGCAACTTTTGGTGTAATCGGCACTTTTTCTGCAACACACCAGTGATTTTGTATGCAGAGACTATGCGGTCCTGTTGCGTAGTGCCACTTAAGTCTACCAAACATGGCGATCCAAGGAGTCGTACGTGCCTTTTCATAACCAAAGACAACGTAACTAAGCAGGCAAGCTGGTTATTATAAGACATTCTACAACCCAAGATGGAAGTTTACATGGAGGGACATACACAAACATCTCAATCACATTGAGACGTTGGTATTTGTCTCTCCTTGTAAACCTCCGTCTCGGGTTGTAGAATGTCTTCAAAATCAACAATGTTTTGTTCGGCGGAGGCAAAATATAGAGGTGGGTCGGACACAGTAGAGGTGGACAGTTAGCCAAACTGGTGGGCGGCAAAACCACTGCCACCCATTGTGGGGAGAACCCTCTCAGCATAGTGGAGTTGTGAACAGTCTGACTGTGTGCACAAATGGCACCCCAGCCACGTCATTTTACGTATGTGGTTCTGTCCGACAGCTGTCCTATGTTGGCATTATAGAAGGTTGTGTACCTATTTCTTTGCAGACCTGTTTGCAATGGACGACAAGACAGGGGTGATCAGCGTCATCCAGCCCTTGTCTGGCAGGGGTCGGTCAGAGCCTTACTTCTTGACCGTTCGGGCTACCGACGCGGGCTCTCCACAGCTCTCCACCGACGTCAAAATCCTGATAATTATTGGGGATGTCTCTTCTAACGACGGCATACCGCGCTTCATTCGTCCACGGCTTGGAGAGATTGCTTATGTACACGAGGTAACTGTCTTGAAGCCATAATTATCTTATGTAGTCTTCTCATACTGTATAACCTCTGTAACATCCCATTTTCATGTGTGCTCAGAGAAGCCTCTGAGAATATGTAAAATCCTCAGTTATATATGTGCTTGAGATTATATTGTGCATATACAAGCAGAAGAGTTCGACATGACAAGGATGAGGATGGGAGAAACAAAGAGCACCAGGAAAAGGACAGATAAAAGTTTCAACTGACCTTGGGTCATGCTAATGATTTCAAAATAATGTACAGAAAACACAGAGGTTCAAAAAAAAAAAAAGAGGATGGAAACTACTTTTTTATTTGGGGGGGGGGGGGGGGGGGGGGATTTGTCTACATTTATGATGGGTTCTAGGCTTTTTGTGGCACTTAGCCCACCGGTGTTTTTCACCAATGCCCCACGGAAACAAGATTTGACCTTTTTTAGAGTTTTTTTGTTATTACTTTCAAGAAACTGCATACATCTGGAGCGTTGCCCTCTAATTTAATTAAGGGTGCCAGTCCTGAGGAGTAAGCGAAGTGCTTGTCTTTGCAACGAGATATTCAGAAAGCTGCAGGTGAATGAAGTGCAAAGGATCTTCCTTTTTTCCTCAAAGCAAAAAAAGCATGTATTACAGTTATTTGTAATAAAATTAAATTTTTGCTATGAAGCTGGTTTTCATAAGTGTTTTAGAAAGTCACTGTTTTTCCAAACAAGTTTGGGAAGTGTGAATATTAGTTAGTTTTTAATTGGGCTAATAATTCCTGTTTTGACATTTTATTTTTTTTTTTCAGAATGTCACTATTGGCACATCTGTGTTTCAAGTGCAGGCAGTTGACCCAGACAATGCGTTATCCTCCAATGGCCAAGTGGCTTACAAATTTCTGGACAAACACAGTGCTATCGGTGAGGAGTTGAACTTCGAAATTGACCTGGCATCCGGTCTAATCAGCACCACTGCGATCCTCGACAGGGAAAAGCGGGATAACTATACTGTGAGTGCTATCAGCATGTATTTAAAATTGGAAATGTTTTTTTTTTGTTTCTTGAATCTAATTATAAACTATCGCATAGTGTAAATATAACTTTTTTGACAACCTGTAACCACTATTCTTTCTTTATTGTCAGTGTGGCTGAGGCACTATCATAAAATGTTTAACAATAGGTAAAGTCTTTATTTTGAGTGAACAACTGTACTGTTCCTCATGTAACATAACACATAAGTAAATTTAAAATTGTTATTCAGCAAAACAGTAATCTTAAAGGAGCCCTTTGGAGCTTTCTGAGATCGTCTGTTTATGTTGTTATATTACGTAGTAGGGTGCAAGTTAATATGTATACAAAGTTTTAGATTACAAAACCGTTTATTAAGCAGATGGAAGTAGAAATATATCAGGACTATTTTCGCTTGGAAGAAAATCGCCCATTCCCTGCCCATCGCTAAAACTTGACCAATGGAAATGCTGCATCTCACGGTGAATGCGAAAGTTATTATTGCAACACTTTTTAAGCTTGTTGTAAATTAGAGTTTGAGAAGAACGTAAACTGATTGTGGTGCGGGAAACGTAGTCCACAATTATCGTTCCAAAACCAGCGAACTATGTTTTCTCCCCGCAAGCTTGTTGCTAGGGTGTGATGGGTCGGCGCGTCGCCTCGTCTGCTTCCCAAAGCGTGTGCAGGCGGCTGTTGGCGGGACACGTGTTCCTTCTTCCCGCGGATCCCGACACCGAAGCCAGCTTTGTGATCTTTCCACGTCAACGAGTCAAACTTTTCCTTGTCATCTGTGGAATGCGACTGTGTATTGCAGTAGCAGCGCGACGGTGCGGTGCGACGAACGACGACTGCCGAGCACAAAGTCCGGGCTCCTTGACGACGGTCCGCGCGTATTCGAGAGATTCCTCCGCGGGTCGGCGGTCGGCCGCGTTGGTGACGCGCAGTGACGCCGGAATCCTTCGTTTGCATTGGCTGACGCGTAAAGAGATGCCCCTCCCGTTTTCCGGGGTCATCTCAGAAAGGGGGGCGTGCCGGGGACTTTGATATCAATTTTAATAGGGAAATCCGCCGCGCATGACTGTAATTTTATGATTTTTAGGATCCTTAGGGCCTGCAGATTAAGTTACCGCCATAAATAGACCATCGCAGAACGCTCCGGAGGGCCCCTTTAATGTTGTGCTGGATAGCAACATATCTTCTAGATATTCTGACATACAATTCAAAACCTCATTTGCCACGCTGTAGTGGATCCAGTCTATGCATTCAAGGTGCAAGTTGCAAAAACAAAAATAGTCCTGTGCGAATAGTGGATTTCGAGTTCAAAGCGAATAGTGGTTTTGGCCGAATATTTTTGATTTGAATATTGCATAGTTTTTCCACGTTTTTCACTACCGTTGCATCATGGTTAGATGAAAACCCGGCTAAATTTGTGAAGGTTGTTCTACTTGTTCATTTATAAGCTAAGTTTAATCTCTACATTTATGAACTGTGACGTCAGAAGGTCTGATGTCATGGGATGGCAAGTAAACGACGGATTTGATATAAAATGAATCCTATAGAGATGGCCAACTATACCCAATTGAGTGAATTTACAAATCTTGCTATATAAAATATTCTTTCTTTAATCTCGAGTTAAAAAAGGAAGAATCGCGCATATTGAACGCGGGGTGTAAGGGCATCTCTGCCTAACACATACTCTTGCATAGCAGTCAGTTTAATTTTGAAACTTTTACTACAATGTAGATATACAGATTCACAAAGTTTCCATTTTTTTCTAAATACAACCGGCACGCGTGCACCATCCTGCTTTGAATTTATTTTTTTCTTCGAAGCACGCAATTGTGATATTCATACTTTTCCAAGTGTTTATTGCGGCAGGTTACCCTGTTGAGTGCGCTTCTTACCGAGCACCGGCATAGTGCAGAGAAGCAACACCCACGGAGCTCGCTTCCGTGGGTATTGCTTCTCCGCAGTGCACAGGTGCTCAGTAAGAAGCGTGCTCAATGGGGCTAGCCTGCTGCAATCAACACTTCGAAAAATGCAAATAGTGCAGTTCTTCTCAAAGCGAATATTGAATAGTGTATTATTCAAAACTACTATTGAAAATTTCTAATATTTGCACAACCCTATAAAACAATATACACCCATCTACTTTAAACACACTTGTCATCTTCAGTATGCTTTTGGTGATACAGTTTTGCTGGCATAAATTTTAACCTATGGAATCAGAAAAATTGTTGTCAATTAACTGAGGGCGCTGCTTAACCTTGACAGTAAGCATGTAATCAGTCACATTTTATATTGTGGTGTAAAAAATAAATAATTTCTGACTGAGGAGGTAAGTTAGAGCACCCTTTCTGTATTTTCTTTTTCAGTTGGTTGTGGTTGCCTATGACATGGGGGTTCCTCCTCAAGAGGCTCATCAGCTTCTGAGGGTCGTGGTCCTGGATGTCGACGACAATGAACCTGAGTTTGAGAGGCCGCGGGTAGGTCACCGAGTGATTCATCATTAATGTGTTCTGATCACAGCTATGGTAGCCTTGGCATACAAAACAGACATACATCTATAGGGCATCCCAATCTCCCCTCGATTCCAGGCATCCTGAGAGACATGATCTCTCTGATAATTCAATACAGTAGAACCGTTTTGATATATGCTTTTTCTAGGGACAGTCGTAAAAAAATGTGTTACCCGGAAAATTAATACAATCAAAAGAAATTTATTTTGGCTCAGGAGAGTCGCGGTGGCGCCGAGGGGCAAGTTGTGAAGTCGTGCTGGGCTGCAGCGTACAATTATGTGACAGCATTGAAAGATGAAAGAAAAGTGGTGACAATGATTAAAATTGAGCTTATGGGTGAGGGTGGGTGATAACGACCCAGTGTGACAATGCTCTTGGGAGGGGCTATAGACGAGGCTAAAAACAACCTCTCGCACAATATTCATTTTTTTTAACATATACTTCCTTGGCTCTGGTGAACTATATTTGTTAAAGGGGCCCTGCAATGGCTTTTTTACTAATTTTTAATTTGCACCGAACCTGAGCGCACTGAACGTAGTAACTATGTGAAACTTTTCTTTTCTCGAAATTCCCTTTATTTTAAAAGTTATAGGCAAATTAAAATTACAAAAACAAGCAAAAAATAACCTCCCTCATGACGTCCTTGGTTGCTTGAGAGTGGCCGTGAACTAGAAGAGGGGTAGTGAGCTTATCGAGCGCTCACGGCTGCCGAACTCCCAGTGGACGGCGCGAGAGGGCGCCATTGAAGCATGTTCTGGATAGGCTGTATGCAGCGGGCAGCCAGAGCGGCTCTCATTGCATTTGCTGCGCGATTAAATACTCATTCGGCATGACACTTCATTGGCCACAAACGACAGCAAACACGGGGTAAAGATCAGTTCAGAACGGGAGCTACTTTGCGCTGCCATACCGCGAAAGGGCCAAACCGGAAGACAAAGCTTCTCGCCGAAGGCCTTCGGAACGCTCGGAACCGCTCGGATCCTCCTGCCCAAATGACCGCAGCGCCGCCGCGTACATCCGTGACCTTTCCGTGTCGGCGCCTGATCCCACTACTCCTTTCTAGTATGCGCCGCCTTTTCCACCGCTTGGTGGCGGGTATGCCGACGGGTCATTTCTTGTTTCCGTACTTTATAAACTGCATTTGTTTCTTTTCTCATCTAAAATAGTGAACAAAAACTACTTTTATCAGTAATTGAAACGGTTCGCGACACTTATATTTTGTATTTCGACTAAAAAGAGGCTTTTAGCGGCTCTGACCAATAGTAAGCCCAGGACCAAAGACGTCACATTTTGCGCGCTTTCGGTACCGCGGGTCGCCCTCGTCGGTGGAGGAGGTTTTCGCGTCGTCCGGTTAAAATATGACGCACTGATATTTAGTTACTCTCTCCATGCCCGCTGGATTGCCTGAACCCCAAGAGACGTGGAAACCGCAAAAAAGGTGAAAGCTTAAATATGATTGCAGGGCCCCTTTAAAATATAGGTCAACATTTTTTTGCCAGCACTTTTCTTTAAAGTTTGGGGTCGACCTACGATCACAACTACAGTATGTCGACCTGCAAGAGCGAGCAAAATGTCTGGGCTTTTTTCTCCAAGCACACCAATGACACTGATGTTTTCTGCATACCTGCAGAAAACTGGCGAATGCGAATAAAAATGAATCGGCTTTTGCGGTTTGGATGCCGATGCCAGGGGCTGCGGATGCGGGTTGGATGCGGTTGGATATCTGCGGGTCCGGATCTACATTTGTTCCTGGGTAGCCCATAAACATGTGCAACGTACAGTGTAGACTGAATAAGCAGTCTTGTACACATTACTAAAAAAAAGTAACCGATTACAATTACAATTACTTTATTGAAAAATGTAACTGATATTAGTGATCACTTACTGCATCACAGAATTACAAAATTTTCAGAAAGTATAATTGATCTCTTTTCACGCTACTTTTTCCAACTTTTTATTACGAAATCAAAAATACATACGTATGTTCAAAGTGGTTACATTTTGTTTCTTTTTGTCATTCACACCTTGTTAAGCTCCAACAGCAGTTGTCAATCGAAGTTCTCTTTAGTCGTCTTCTCACGTTTCCTGATGAAGGTATCTGCCACGACCCTGAAGGCCCTCTCGACAGATGCACATGAGGGAAGAGCGCTGTTCTAGCACACAAGCATTTTGCTTACCAATTCGTGGTTGCGCAGTGCTTCGACGAATGCTTCCAAATCCTCTAAAAAACAAAGTGAAAAAAAAAAAAAATTGGGTTGTGTGTATGTTTATACAGCCTAGAACTTGGTCTACCTCAACGGGTGACGAGTCTCCCACATGTAGATGGGAAATTTAGCCAGTGTGGTAAAACCGCTAGCCAGGGTCTTTAACATGCATCACGCAGTAGTGATACACGACCGCACGCCGGTACGATGCTCATCCAGATTGAAACGGGCAGGGGCAGGCAGGAATTGAACCCAGGATCCTGGGTTCTGCAGCGCGAGCTTTTGCTCCACGTGCTCCGAGCTGGTGTGCGCTAGCCCACTTGGCCACCGATCCTCCCTGGAAGCGAAGTGCTTCACTGTTGCGACTGCCTTTTGAAAGCGTTTCAGGCGGGGGCAGCGAAAAGCTGAAAAAATTGTTTGTGGACAAATTCTCTGGATTCCCGTTCACAGGAAACGAGACGCTTTCGACAGCTTGACAGTCAAAACGTCGCTGAAGGCATTGACATTTTAGCACTTCTGGTAGTATCTTTTTTTGGTTGTTTAGGTCAGAAAAGTGCCCAACGTTGGTGTAACATAGACGAGTGATGCACGGGCAGGCAGCAATTTTTTTACGTAAAAACTCAACTCAATAATTTTAGCTCTTTCGGAAAGATATAATTGATTACTTGTAATTAATTACACAAAATAGTAATTGAATTACAGCAAACATTACCACAGAAAAAAGTAATTGAAGTGTTCAAAAGTTACAATAAAATGTAATTGATTACAAGTAATCAGTTACTTGTAACTCATTACATACACGTCAGTGAATAAGTGAGTGATACTATGAAGTGCATCAATGAATGTATTGCGGGAACAAACTACTCTCTTGGATAAAAGGTGCCAGTCGGGGAAAAAATTGTTCTTTACGTCAAAAAAGATGGTTATCAACAAAGATCGCTTTAGAACGTTCTATCTTGCCAGAAATGCTGTCCCTAGAAAAAGTAAAGAATGCAGGAGCATCAGTCATTCCTGGAAAGTGTGTTCTTGTTTAACAGGGAAAGAGCGGAAAACATTCCTTGGGCAAAGAAAACCCAAAACGTACAAGCGACAAGAATGTAGAAGAAGCCTGGAAGTGGCTTCTTTGCCTACAAGCAGATTGAGGAGACTGAATTCAATCCTCTAGAGTGTTGGAACTCGCACCAGCACGAGTTTTTTAACCTAATTCTTGTAGCGCAGTTCGTGCATACCACCCCATCATCAAGTGCACCAACGGAGAGAGATTTCTCATTAGCAAGTATTAATTTACGAGAGGCGAACCACTCTGAATCCGTCCATGTTGACAATATTCTGTTTCTTCTACACAAAAACCTCGACAAGTGAAATGTTGCGTCTTTGTGCATTTTCATTTTCTCAGCAGTTGGCACTGAGTTGTTCTAAGGTACTATATGAACCATATAGTACCTCAAAACAACTTAGTGCATGCATGCAGTTGAGGGTTCGTGTTTAAAACTGAAACAGATAGAAGATGTACCCATTATTGAATATTGGGATATTTTCCCAGTGATGTACTCACACCTTACCACATATACTCAAGTATACTTTGCTGCCGTGATGGAGTACCTTTCCACTCCCACTTTTTTTTTTTGTTCGGTTAGTTTTCATGTTTATAAAATATGCACCTGCGTGAAATGGGTTTCACAAAGAAAAAAGGAAAATGAATATTAAAATTTTCTTCCTTTTGAGCACATCTCTGAACAGAGTGCCAGTGTCACAAACTCCCAAGATGATCTCATAACTGTGATCATGTTTCCAGCGATGCGAAATGCCTCTGGAGGGATGATCGCTTATTTTAGAAATACGATAAAGCAGAATATGATAAAATGACTTTCACCGTATTCTGACACAGAGTTCTTTGTACAAAGGTAGGCAGACGGTTTATAGGATACCATCCAGATGTTTTAATGCGAAAGCATTAACTGTCCCATTGAGCGAAGCCGCCGTTGTCTGTAACCGCAAAAAGCGGCACCTAAAGTTTGTTTGTAGCAGCAAAAAACGGCAGCTAAATTTCCATTGGCTAAGCGGAACCGGACCCAAAGTCCCATTGGCCAAAAGAACAGCAATGCAGATGCTTCGTCACGGATGCCAGCGGTGCACTCAAGGTCAAAGAAAAGCACAGCAATGCGGCTGCATCATCACGGAAGCTGTGGAGGCGGCGGGGATGCCGCACCTGCGCAGTGGGGGAGCGTGATGTCGCTGCTGGAGCGTGGTGCCGCGCCGAGCTTTGCACTCCCGCCGCTGCCTCACCCAGTAGCACAGCAGTCACCAGCAAGTCAGGACGGTCAGCGCGGCGCACCGCCATACTCCCTGCCAACACTGTGGTCACTTCTGGCGGCGTTCAGTTGGACATTAATGCTTTCGCACTCACAACTCATAAAAAGTGCTTAGGTGTCCTTGGAATTTTTCAAACTTTTATTCATTCTGGATTTTATGATGTGAAGTGAATGCGCGGATTGAGGGCCGGATGCAGTACCGAAGTTTGCGGATGTGGTTCAGATGTGGATTCAAAGTTGGCGGATGCAGACTGGATGCAGATACAATTAATTAAGAACATTGCAGATGGGGATACGAGGTCTGTGGATGTGGATCAGATGCAGATCGGAAGCGGATGATCAAAGTGTTATCCGCGCAGGGCTCTACTGATGAGCTTTTAGCACAGCGGTGAGGCTCTACATTTGTGTCACTGCAGAAGGGCAAAGCTTGACACAAGTGGCACGAGGCCTAATTCGGATAAAATCACCGATGGGATCTTATCAGGAGTATGAGACTCTGGCTCCGTCTTATCACAGCACCCTCTCTCCAACTGTTTTGCAAAGTTTTAGCTCACGACATTGCTACGATGGCTCTGTAATCATTATCAAGAAGTTCAGAGAATAATGTGACCTGTGCATTCGACAAGTGAGTTTTAACTGGTGGAAGTAGGAATGCTATAATATAAATATTTATACGAACCCTCTAAAGTTAGAGCCTCCTTTTTCTGCATTGCCACATTCGCCAATGGGCACGAGTTCTGAAATCCATGCAAAAGAAAACCCCCAAAACCAAGCAGAATCAAAGCACATGCCATCACAAACCACATGGCAAAGAAAAAGAAGGGAAGGATAAATGAGTTGTTGCAACAGCTTAAATCCTGTTCAAGCCTCGTCCAAAGGTCATGCTCACGCGGGCAAGAAGCTGCATGCAGGGAGGCAAAGAGGTGACACGAGGAAACGAATCATGAAGAAAAATCCAGCCAGCAGTGATGTGATTGCTGCGATAATTGTGCCAAACTGCGCCAAGGGGCTAACCCTGCTTCATCTTGCTACATTTTGCCAAAATATGGGTAATTTGTGCCAAGCCTGCTCCAAAGCAGCAATTTCGGTCGCCTTCCAAACTGAAACCAAACTGAGTACCGTAATTGAGCATGCGTGAGCTAGGTGTCGCAAGCGGCCGACACAAAGTACCCTGTATCAATCGTCCGTCCGGTATTCAATGGTTTTTGCTGCCGTCTCACGTTTCGTGCTCTCGTGGATCTCGTCTGGTATGTCTAATCTTGTCTCGCATCGCTTTTAAATTTCTTGAACGATAGACACGGACGTGTGCTGACGCTCAGATGCTAGCGTGCCGGGTACCAGCCATGCCGTCATGATGTGAAACGAAACCACGTTTTTGTTAGGCGGGAGTTACTTTGTGAGTTGAAGCACTCGCTGCTGAAAGCAACAGTCGTGTGAAAATTACCTTTGGTCCCTGCCTGCCAGTCATCGTGGTCGCGCGACGTTGGGTGTTGCCGTCCCCACGTCGCTGCCGATATGGCGCTTTCTAAACCGAAAAATAAGTACTGCCGCATGTTCATGAACATTCCTCTTCTTGTTTAAACCATACACTACTGCAAAAATTCATACTTAACTCAAAGACTGCTCTGTCGAAGTATTGATCACCTAGGCTTCTCTCGGTGGGCTTTCTTTCGAGAGGGACCCCGGTATGTGAAAAGTCTGTCGCAAAAGAAAGTTGAAGAAGAGTGAGCTAAAGCGAATAAGGCAATGTCTGCACACTGAACACGCACGACACGCTTGCTTGTTTCGAGTTGAGTCGTTGCACAAAGTGCTTGCAAAAACCTTCTGACCCTGGCTCGCGATGTCTTGCATCGATGCGCTCAGGTCCTTTTTTTCTGTTCGTCTAGCTCAGGGGTGGCCAGGCTGACCTGGCATAAGAGCCGCAAAAGAAACCACGTTATGGCTAAGAGCCGCCGAAACGAGGGGGGGGGGGGGGTGCAAAACAAATGCCGCTGCCTGGTTAACACCCCCGCCCCCAAAGCATAAAAAAGCAGCTTGCGGGTCACAACTGCAAGCCGGTAAAAATAACAATGAGAATGTTCCCGGGTCTTTTGTGAACTTGAACATAACGTCTGTGACTAGTGGAAGCTATGAATGAGGTAAACCCGGGCTTCCGCGACCTTCAACAAGAAACAATATGGAAGGAACATCCGTTACCTAAAAAGGACAGGTATCACCGGCGAGTGCCAAAGGCCGCGAGACAGAACATTTCTTCGATCTCAAGCCAAAGTGCATGCATGTTTTGAGAGTCCCTGTCCTTGATGACTTTCTCCCTCGGGTCCGCCAAATCTCTCGAACAATGAACGAAACAGGATCTGTTGAATCATACGTGTGAAAAGCGGTTCGAGGCTGCCAAACCGTAACTGTTCTTTATTCTGAAATCCTTTCCTTCTTTTTTGGGGAAATGCGGAAAAGGGCGGGGCGGGGGGGTTCCCTTACGAGGGATCCGCGAGCCACACCGTGACGTGCAAAGAGCTGCATGCGGCTCGTGAGCCGCGGTTTGGCCACCCCTGGTCTAGCTTGTACCTCGCCTCCCGTCCTGGCAGGCACGCGCCGCTGGACTGTTTTTTGTCGTATGCTAAGCAGTTACATTTTGCATACAATTTTGGGAACCAGTTGGCGACGGAACGGAGTGGCATGGTTTCGGTTTCGATTCCTTGTCTCTGCTCGCGCGGCGAAGCACGTGCAACTGCAAGCCTGTCGAGGTTGCCCTCACGTGCATACGAACATGACTGCACAACAGAGGCACCAGCTGGGACGCCTGCAATCCATTGTTTTACGTTTGCTTACTTTTGACGAAAATCTGTCACGTCATGACGTCAGGAACCCGTAAAACGGTGGCAAGCGGTTTTTCGGAATTGCTCCGCAACGCCTTCAGCACTTTACACTTGTGGGACGTCTCAGCAGCAAAAACACAAGCAGCGAGTTTCGTCACAACACGTCACATTACAACACAACACAAAGTGCCCTCCGTTTGTCCAGCACTTAAAACAAATATTTTAATTTTCTAAGAATATCTGCTCCAAACGCCACTTTTGCTGTTCTGAAGCACTGTTTTGGCTGCTCCAAAAACCACTTTTGTTGCTCCAAAACACTGTTTTGGCTGCTTTAAAGGCCATCTTTGCTGCTCCAGAACACTGTTTTGGCTGCTCCAAAAGGTGCTCCAAAATGGCTTAAGCCAATCGCATCACTGAGCCAGGCGGCCTGACACCTTGTGTCGGGTGGCAGTTCTTGGTTGTGAAAATTGGGAAGACGGTTCCAACAAATGTGGAATTAATGCTCATATTGCTATCTGAATTCAATGGGACCAGCGTTCGTGCAAGTGACAGCCAAAAAACTATTAACTGGGAACATATCGAGGAGGGTTTACTTATGGGAAAGGTGTTGCTTTGTTCAACCAGAAGCTCTTTTGCACTTTCATAACTGTTTAGAATAATTCCAGGGCTTTGAGTCAGTATATTGTATGTGCAGAAATAAAAATGGCAAGCATCGAGGTATTCGAGCTTGCAACTTTACGGCTTTGTTCCGGTCTAAAGATCATGGCATGCACATGCTATAGTTACATTATGAAGTGGAAGAGACATCTTTAAACTGGTTATCCAGATTTTTGAAGCTACATAGTATATATATTTTTCACTACATTGATAAACCCTAAGTGCTGCCATCTGAGAGAAAACTTTGCTTCACACTTTTGCTTTGCACCATTCAGGACTATTTGCTTCTGATAGCAGGAAGCACAGGTATTCCCATGACCTGGGATACTTTTAGTATTGAAATAATTTGCAACTCTGTGCACCCTTAGTCTTAACAGGCCAATGAGTACAGGGTAATCTCAAGGAAATTGACAATTACCCAGGCAATGTGAGCCACGCATGTTTCCTAATTGATGTTGCTCTTTCCGCAGGATGCTGAACCGGTTGTCATGAAGATAAAGGAGGAATTGCCAGTTGGTTCCATAGTTGGAAAAGTCAAGGCCTTCGACAGAGACATGGGAACTAATGCCTTTATTGATTATTTCATAGTTGGTACGTATCCATCAACATGCTGTCTCATAGCGACAGCAAGGTCAAGGGTGGTCAGAGCTCTGGATTGAAATTTAAACCTGATCTTGCGTGACTTTTACAGATCATTACCTTACCAAATTGATTTCTGTTTTTCCAAGCTGCACGGGCATGGACTCATTATTATTACTGTCACAACAACAGCTTATGAAATCCTCTGGAACCACTTTTATGTGGTCTGTGCTCACGGCAGTAACTTGCTTAAAAGCAAATCAATTAGTAATCGTGATCATGGACGTCTCAAGGCGACGCTGTTACTATAGTCACTGGCAGAGTGAGAACGGCAGGGCGTTTAGACAAACGCCTGGCCTCCAGCACACGCCCCCCCGTCTTCCACCGTGCTTTGACTGTGCGCTCGCGATCGAGATGCATAAGAACACTGAAGCATTTTCGAAGATAGGGTGCTCGCCTGACCTTGTTGGTAAGGATAATCTACCTTCTCATGCAGGTGGGAACCTGGACAACGTCTTTGCGATCCAGCGCACGGGAAACAACGAGGGAGAAATTATCACGAAGAAGAGGGTGGACAGGGAGGTCAAGGAGAGGTACATGTTGACCCTCAAGGTGAGGATGCCTTCGAAGCCGTTGGAGGAGGTGGACATCACTTACAACCCCGATGACAAGACGCAGCTCCAGGTCGATGTCCAAGTTGAGGACATTGACGACAACTCCCCGTCTTTCGAGAAACCGAGCTATGTTCTGGGTGAGTTTTCTCGTCCCTGACTCCAACTGGACATTTCCAGCACTTTTCCAAAGCAGCTAGCATAGTATTAGGAGAATGCCTCGACTATTGGAGATTTTTGTCCCTAGCTCCGCGAGAGAGTGTGTGATATTGTTCATCATTAGCTCTCTGCATGCCTATAAAATCTATGTTGCCACTAGTACAGTCATGCCTCATTAATATGGATACCTCTATCCTCCCCAAAAATCGTCCATAATTTGAGTTGTTCGTAATAATGAGAAAAAAATGCAAAAATTTCCCCGGTTTATCCCTGAAAATTTTGTCTATATAGTGGGGTACCCATTGATGGTGTATTCGCACGACGGAGTTTCTCCCCGAGGAAAAGGCTAAACGTCACCGAGTTTCGAGGTCACGTGCTACGCGTCATGGATGTTTGCTTAACCACCGAGCTCGCAAGGAGCTGAGGAGAATCTGCGACCGGCTTACAGAATACCCGTCGTCTCGTCGGGGCGACCGGGCCCCCTCTTTTTGTCCCCCTGATTTTGGGAAAATGTGGGGTGTCTTTTTTTTAAATTTTTTTCCTCTGCCCTTTGTTCGATGAGCCCCCGAAGGTCGCTGCGGGTTCGCGAAAAGAAAGACTCCGCCGACTCCGACTCCTTTGTGCGAATGTTTGCTTAGACTTTCTGCCTTCTCGTGTCTTTTCCTTCTCGCAGCTTTATGACATACTCCGCTTTCTCCGGAGATAAAGCTCTCTTGTGCGAATGCACCTTAAAGGGCTTCTGGAAAGAAAAACAAATGTTTTTTTTAAACAATGTGGTTGAGACACACGTGTCAAAAAAATTAATTTAATGCGAAAAAAAAAAAAAAAATTTTAGAGCAATATTGACGGTGCGAGACGTGATTTCGTTGGTAGTCACCTCCTTCCCACTTGTTTTCTTTCTCAGCATTTCGGGTGCGTGGAGGAGAGGTGGATTGGCTTCGCCTTCACGTCAAGGTGGAAAGAGCGAACGACCATCTCGTTGAGGTCGAAAGAGTGAATGACCATTCTGTGACATCATGGACTTTGCACGCAAAATTGCAAATAAATCTCTCGCCGTCAATAGTGCTCCAAACAAATTTTCTTTTTTTGCATAAAATTAATTTTTTTACACGTGTGTCCCAACCAAACTTTTCAAAAAAACATTCCTTTTTTTTTTCAAGGGATTTTTAATGGGGTTCATATGAATGAGACATAACTATGTGTGACTACTATGCAAGTGCTACAGTAGTTGGTAGCAATCAAATTATTTATATCCCAACACAGTCTGTGTTGAGGATAATTTAGGTGGCACATAAAGGATGACAGTAGCTGGCATTTGGGGCCACGCAATTTGCGTACGTTGGGCCGCTGCAATCTTGTGGTGCCCGGACAAAAGCTCACCGGACAAAAGCTCACCGGACAGAAGCTCACCGGACAAAAGCTTACCGGACAAAAGCTCACCCGTTTTTTCACAAACCCGGACAAAAGCTCACCTGATTTTTTTTTCGCTACCCGGGCGAAACACGGGCTGAACTAAAATGCGGACGTGATGGACATTGCACCGTTTTTAGGTGAACTTGTGCCTCATCCCACGCAAGGGTTTACTACGGTTGATCGAATGCCATTTTGTCGAAACATCTTTTTAGAAAATGGGCACGTTTTATTGAAGCCCGGTTTAGAGAAAGCAGAGCCTCAGTTTAGAGATATGCCGTTTATCGAAAAGGGGACGCTATTTAAAAAAGGCTTTTCTACTTCACGCGTGTATCGCTGGTGCGCGTGTTAACCCAAGCCCCCTGCTGCGCTCCCGCCACTTCGGGGCGGCAGTCTGCGGCGGCTCATTACAAAAATGTTAACTCACCTGACTTATCTGTACACGCCGCTTCGCGGTGGCCGAACTCGCTAAAAGGAGGCTCATCGCCTTTTTTTCTAAACTTGGTTTCTCTGTAAGACCAATATGAAATTTTCTTTTGGTGAGCTTTTGTCCGGGTCTGTTAAAAAATGGGTGAGCTTTTGTCCGGTGAGCTTTTGTCCGGTGAGCTTCTGTCCGGTGAGCTTTTGTCCGGTGAGCTTTTGTCCGGGATTCTTTTTGTTGCGCCGGGAGTGTGTATAAGAAGGCTTGCTTGACGTTGTCAAATGGCAGATATTGGTGCTGTGCTTTTCAAACCTTGAGATTGAAGCTGCTTTTAGAATTAATCAATGACATGTCTTGAAAGCAGCAGACTGGATTGAGGATTTATTGCATGTTTGACTCTTTCTTTTACTTCTGCAGGAATTCGTATGAACACCGAGATTAACAGCGAGTTACTGGTGTTAAAAGCAAGAGACCCTGACAGCTCGTCAAGCATGATAATGTACTCCATTAGAAATGTGACCTATTACAGGGTAAGATGTACTGGAAGCTGCTACCTTTGTGAGGTTATAATAACATAGTCAGTGCACTCTAAATGTTTTATGTGTTTTTCAGCCATCATCTAAGGAATCCCTGCCTGTCATTGGTCAGTTTGAACTGGACGCTCACAAGGGAATTCTAAGGAGTGTGAGAAACCTGGGGAAATACAGAGATGGTTATTTTGACATTACTGTGGAATGCCAAAGTGCTCCAGGTCCCCAGAATATTGCCATGACCCATGTCAGGGTAAGACTGCTTTCCATACTTGGAAAACTAACTTGCTCCAATTTATTGTATTTTCCGGGCTATAGTCCGCGGACTGTACATGTTTAAAAGTTGAAGTTTTAGGCCGTGTGGACTATCTACGCGTGCGGACTACTATACAGGAATTTTGTTTTTCAAGATCGTTCATTATGTCAAGACGTGACAGATTTTGTGAGTGAAAGAGTATGTTAATAATGATTTACGTATATTATGAGCTTCTCTGTGAGCTAAGAAAGCAGACATTTGTCAAGGTGTGCCGTGTATGAGAAGATTTTTGTGTCGACTAAGCACCAGGTGCAAATTATGCACCGAGTGCGGTCTATGCACCGGGTGCAAACTATCTGAGTACAAACATTTATTTTTGACTCCAAATTTGCACCTGCGGACTATACGCCTGGTGCGGACTATAGTCCGAAAAATACGGTACACAACTGAAGAAGCCACCAAACTTTTCTGTTGCAAAGTAACTTGAATCTCTCAGACAGTTGTTTCAGGATAGCTGCACTTTCCTATCGTTGGTGATAGGTTAGGAGTTAGGTGGCACACCTCTTGCACTTCAGCAGAGCAAATGCTGGAGAGGAGGTTGCCTTTTCTCCAGCATTTACTCTGCAAAAATGGAAAGAGGTGGGAGGAGTTTTCCCTGAACTCTTGGCCTGTCACCGACTGCAGATGACCTTTCCTCTGTTATACTTGTTGTCTAGCATTTGCATCATTGTTTCATTTAGCCCATTTTTTTACATATTTCCAGGCCCATATTCTTCATGATTCTGACTTGATGAAGTTTATCTTCTACAAGCAACCGCAGGAAATTCGGAAAGTGATTCCTCAGTTTGAAAAGTAAGTAGGAAATTGTAGAAATACAATGCCTGCGATCCATTTTTTGTCATTTATAATGTTTGTTTTTTATTCATTATTACAGAGATCTGAACCAAGCACTAGCAAGTGCGGTGACTGCCAATATTTATGATACCCAGTACTCAACACGTGAAGATGGAAGCCTGGATTTTGAGAGGTAATGGTCAGTCATTAGATGTACAATTTATTTTTTTAATATTACTTTTTCTTCAATTGTTACCAAATTTTGTGTGTCGGCATGCCTTTCGTGCAACTAGGTTAACCTTGTTCGATCGTCATAATATGTTATTTGTTCAGTACCTTGAAAACAAATGAAATAATTTGTATTAACTCTTACGGTAATTGTTCTAACAAAAAACTAAGCACCCTAACTCATCCTTGTATGCAAGTGTATGTGCTTATATAGATTAGCCACCCACGAAAGATAGCCCACCAGTAGAAATCACATATTCTGAACTCTTGTGCAGTGGGCCATACAGTCTGAATGTCAGCAGTGTTGCTGCTCTGATTCTGTTTGATAACTAGAAGATAAGTGAAGGAATAAAATACTCACTTTGTGTTTCAAATAATGTTATACTCATGGTGTGGTCTAGGACAGGTGATTTTGGCACGAATGGGCGAGAAACCATGTTGCGCGTTGTTTTTGAGCTGGACTTGCACGCCATAAAATTAGCTATGCAGGATGTGGAAGGTTTGCAGGATGTTAATAAATCTGTAATCAATGCTTTTTGAAAGGAACAATTATATTGCAGTTTGAATGATACTGTTGTGTTTGTCTTTCTTTCAGTGCAAGTTCATGTTTCCAACTCCTCGAAAACGGACTTGTTGTTAGTCCAGACATGGTCCTTAAGATGCTCGACATATCAACGTCTCCGAGGGTTCACGCACTCTACCAAAACTACAGTATCGTTGGAATAGAGGTGATGATCTGGCATTTTGTATGTTTTAACCTCGAACGCTGCAGCAGACTGCTGTAGCATTTTCACAATCCCATTCATTTGATGAGTGCTATAAACATTTGATGATGTCATTATGGCTAATAGCATTGACTCTTTAGCTAGTTTCTTTATTGGCCATTTTATGATAGACAGCATTAACTGAAACAGCAAAAAATACTGCCAACTTCTAGCTGTTTATGATGAGGGCAAAGTACCACTTAAACAATTTATTGTGATTCTGAGAATATAGAAGTTACAGCGACCAAGTTACACATATAGACACTTGGAAGTTGTTGAATACCAACGAGTGCTCACTCAAAATTGTAAAATGTATGATCACAACAGAACTGGAGGCAGATGCTTGATTGAGCATTATTTATGCTACACATACAGGAGAACCTTGATGGTACATTTTTCAGGGGACTGGGGAAATAAAACGTACGATCCACGAGAAAACATGAGGAACGATAGCTAGAGATGAGACAGATAGTGACTGTCACGAAACAATTTATTTTAAGCAAACATTCGTAGGTGTGAACTCAAATTGGCTCAGAAAAAGTTTGTAAACATTTGTTGATATAAACTTAAATAAATATACTCTAAAAGTTTGTAGGCGCATCTCAAATGCATTCAGATAAAGTTTGTGGAAATTCGTCTGTGTTAACTCGAATAGGGTCAGAAAAAGCTTGTAATTTCCACCTGGCACTTTGGGTGACTGAAATGCAGGCAAGCAACAGAGTCCTTGGCTTGCTAAGGGGTGTTTGCCAATGTCCTCGTCGGCTCGTTCCTTTGCTGTCAGGCACAATACTTCAGTACATCAAAGCCACAAAAAAGGTCTTGCTGGATGACAGTCTATAGTGCACGTGCAGGAGAGACTGCTTCGTGCTTGATGAGTTTTGAAGGAAGCTTCTTTGCATGAACCGGGAGGAGTACCAGAACCGTGTCATCCGGGCGAAGTTCTTACAGCTTCTGTCCTGTGTGGAACTAAGAACAGTGCGACAGCATGAACAGCAAACAAACAAAATTAAAACAAAGCACAATGATGCACCATCTTCGTTTTGCTCTTTAAAAAAAAAAATTCTGCTGCTAGATTAAACATGTTTGAAGTGTGGTTTGGAGTAAAAAATCTGCGAGTGAAAAGGTGCGTGACTTTTTCGGTCCGTGCTTTACACACAGATTTTTGGCAGGGGTTGACTTCTCTTGCAACACACCTTTTTTTGAGAAGCAAAACAGAGATGGCGCATTGTTTTCTTTTGTTCGTTCCGTCTGTTTGCTTGTTCATTTTATCGCATGATTCTTGGTTCCACGCTTGAAGAAAGCTGCAGGAACTGTTCCCGGCTGATGCACAGCAGGCTCCGGTACTCCTCTAGGGCCGTGTCAAGAAACTGCTGTCAAAACTCGTCTAGCGCGCCGCGCTTGCTCGTGCACATCCATCCAGCCTCTCATCCGGCAAGACCAAGACCCAACAAGGTTGGGCAAGACATTTTGTGCCTGTAGTGTATTGAAGTGTTGTGTGCGAGTGCACGGAGACGAGGACATGGGCAAACGCCCCTTCGCAAGCCCAGGACTCTGTTGCTTCTACTCGGACACTTCTCGAGCAGGACCACGCTTGTGTTATGCCTTGGGTTAGTAAAGGTAGTGCCGCTTCGCACTAAGCCTCTCACAATGTTCTGTCTTGCACAGCAGGTAACAGCAGCACACAACAACTATTTTTCGTATTAATACGATAGCGTCATGACCGCAGTGACAAATGTTGCATTAGCAGCTCTTAGACGACGGTGCCACTGTGCAGTCGTTAAGTGGTTTGGTCTATCCTCGCTGTCCCTCGTCTCCCCCTTCATGTTAATGCGCTTGGGAGGCGGACGACCTGCGGACGTGCCATCACGCGATCAATCCATCTGGGAATTGGTCCGTCTTGTGAATCGGCCGGTGACTTTTTGCACGCAAGAAGGGGGGGAACCAAACATACTAAGCAGGAAATTAATACATGTGTTCCTATGGGAGCCCGGCAGGGCCGGCGCTTCTGAACGTAAAAGCCGGGAAAACGCAGAAACTGTGAATGTCTTGACGAGGTTTCAGTGTCCTTTGCATAAACTGACTAGTAGTTTTCAAATTTTGAGAAAACACTAGGTAGGTGCATATATGTGGGCTTTTACGCTTATTCAACTTTTTACGATTTTACATTTGGTAATTTATCTTTATCTTGAGAGGGCTGACAATAGTTTGCTTTGTTTCGTGGAACATTCCAGCATGCAATGCGAAAAGCTTTAGTTACAGGTGCTTCCAAGCAGACATGTGCATAACCGTTACTAGAAACGAGTTACTTCACCCTAGTTACTTTTTTCGGTAGCGAGTAACATACTATTTTGTTACTTTTTTAGAAGAATAATGAGTAACATACCTAATTACTTTTAAGGCCAAGTAACGAGCAACAGTATTTCATTGCTTTTGAGGAGTAATGTGTCCAACACCGTTTAAACAGCTTTGTTTTAGTTCTAACCTGAGTATGCGTCTATTGCGTAAATGCAGATGGGCAACTTGAAAACAACTAAGCAGCATGACAGAGTAGAAATGTTTATCGCTGAACACGTCAGTCGAACTCTATTATAGCTGGGAATTTCCTTCACCCTTCTAGAAGGTTGAACCTTCTAGAGTCGTGTACAGACCGAATGTAAACCCGAAGATTACCAACACGGAAAGGCACAGAACCTATTGTAAACTTGGAACTTTAGAAGCAGAGAAAACAAAAGAGAAAGTGGAATCCCAGATTCACCAGTTCTCTCTGAAGCACAACAATGCCGTTGCTTCGAGCGCATCAGTAGAACGACTCTTCATCATCGCCGAAGATGAACTCTCAAGAAGCGGGGAAACATAACGGATGAAAACTTGCTACTGCTGACGTGCAATGACTATTGAAAAGAAAACAATAAACCGTGAAACAAAAGCAGTCGTGCATTTAGTTGTCAAAGTAACAAGAAAAGTAACTTGTTACTTTGGAGGTAAAGTAACTCGTTATTTTTGAGAATCGGTAATGAGTAACATATTTAGATACTTTTTGAGCGAGTAATGAGTAACAGTAGTTAGTTACTTTTTTGGGGTCGTCTGTACATGTCTGTTTCCAAGTGTGGAAAGAATGAAATCGATTGCTCTGCAAATTGTAAAACTTCTGCTTTAATTTACAGAAGTGCACCCCAGGGAGGAGCCCTTACAAGATGAAATGGACTGAGATATGTGTCCTCATCGTGGCCTGTCTCATTGCATTGACTGGATTTATTCTCACAATATTACTCTGTTTTGTGAGGGCCAGGTAAGAATTTTGAAATTACAGGGTGGAAGTTAGGGGACTGGGCTAAATTAACTTCCTTTTTTTCTCAATATGCTGATCTAGCATCTAAGCGGATATGATAAGTCATAGCAGCATCTTCATTTTAGTCTTTATGAAGCCTCTGAGAGTACCTAATTCAAACTTTGTTGATTAATGGACTATAGACGCACAAAGCACCATGTTTGCACGATTGTAACACGCCCCCAACTGTAACGCACAGGTCTATTTAGCGCTCAAATATTCGTAAGACACGCCTCCAACTGTAACGCACAGGTCTATTTAGCGCTCAAATATTCGTAAGATAACTTGATGCCGATTGTACCGCGCAGGTAAAAAAAGGAAGGCTGCACACATAACTCGTAGAACAGATTGTATGAAACGCACGCCAATAGGAAATACCATGCACTAGTCGCTGTTCGACAATGACTCTTCGCTGTCCAGAAAGGTGCTTTCATCTAAAGCGTTTTAGGTGCAGCGCTTCTTGCGCTTGTACGAGTGTGCGATTGTCGCCTCTGGGAAGATCGTCTTCCAAACAACTTCGCAAGCTCGTCGGGTCACTAGGATTGCGAGGCCACGCAGTGCTGCTCCCTTGTTATCTCTTCCCTCCAGCGTGATGGCCTTTTGATTAAATAATGCCTCCTAGTCTCATTTCTTTTCTTTTTCCATCTTAAGACGGCAGACATGAGTCCGTAGACGCGAGAGAATATGCGTGATACGAATACTGAAATGGCGATGGATGGATAGGTGGATGGATATTGGCTGTTTTCCTATACCGGGCGGTAGCTTGTGCCACCTAGCCTTGAGTTAATTAAAAAAATGTGCTTCCTTTTTTTTTCTCTCCCATACTTAACGTTCTTCTCTCTTTACCTTCCTGCAACTATCACTGGGCAGGTAATGTACTTTCCAAAAAAACCTTTAGGGAATCGGGCAAGAAAATATTAAACACCGGTCTTCGCCTCCTCCCCTGAGCGAGGGAGTCGCCAAGTTTCCTCTTGTCTACCTCCATGGTGCTCCTCCCTGATCCAGACCCACTGGGGGACAGGTGTGAGACTTTGGGCCAGAGTCAGGCAGGAGGGAGTCCCAATATTCCTCGATGGCGATGGGGCTAGCCACCTTATACTGAGTATTTCGTTTTTGTTTTTGAGTTTCGGTTTCGACTGTAATTCCCATGTATTTTCGGGGACCGATTTTGGTGAAAAAAAGTGTGCGTTACAATCATGCAAACATCAAAATTTCCGGGCATCTTTCTTTTTCGATTTTCATGCATACAATCGACTCATTCGGATGTTTTGGGTTTATACATTGTCAGCACGTTTTTGGAGATTTATTACACATGTACACCCCTGAACAATCTAAGCTGAAACACACGATCCGGCCTTTTTTTGTGTGTCTGTGGTCCCCACAAGCGTTATTATTTCTCGATTTGTCAAATAGTCCGAAGTGTGGGATCTCAACTTCACATTCCCTTCCTAGTTCAGTCCACAGCTTTCAAAAACTGGAAGGTATGCCAAAGAAGCACGATAGACTGTTTCCGCTGATATTGTCCGTGATGGAACATGCATCTAAAACTATTCCTGATCTAAAAAACTCTTTTTTAACATTCAAACATGCTGAGTTTGTGTCATGTTTTGTGATGTGTTGGCTGTCTTCACGTTCACATGCCAGCTTGACAAACGTGGTTTTAGGAATAAACATAAAATTGGGCCAGTAACTCAAGAATAGTGTAATAATTTGGAAGTGTAGTATTTGCGTACTGAGAGATGACACCTCCTATTAATTTGATGAAAATACAACTACCCTGTGCGTCCTAGGGTCCAGTGTATTTTTCTGCTTAAAATAAAGTGCACATGAAGTATTACATTTCATTAGCTGCATAAATAGTGGAGAGGGGTAAGGAAGAGAGACTTTTTTTCCACTCTAATGCAAAGAAGTCAACGCGGAGCGCAAGCTCATCTGCTTCTTTTACAGGGGTTGTAATGACGTCAGAACGCCGATCTCTGATTGGTTCTGATTGAAGGATATTGGGTAGACCTCTAGGCAGCTGGCTTTGACTCGTCTATCCACTATCATTCAGTCAAATCAGAGCTCGGCATTCTGGCGTTACAACAACCCCTATAAAAGAAGCAGACGACCTTGCACTCCACATACCCTTGCTCGAGTATGGTGTCATTGATTCTACACGAGGGACGCTATTTCACTCTTTTTATTTTCTTATGTCACCTGTTTTAACACGTAATTGTAGCAGGTGGCATTAATTCCAGTTTCTTTTAGTGTGCAAATCTATTATTTGGTTCTACTTGCATAATTTCTGGCGTTACCGTGAAAAACTAATTTGGCAGTCTTTCTTTCAGCTACAAATCTGGACTCAAAAAAAGGAAGGCTCGTAAGTGTGATAAGTTTCTTCTTTGAAAATCATGAAGGGAAGGGGCGGGGCGGGGCGGTTGTTGTCATCTGACTTTGTAGCTGACTTCCTTGCCGAGTTGTCAGCTCGTCTTCAGAATTGAGGTTTTAGAGGATGGTTCAGCAATCAACACAGTTTTTCGGGCAGCAGTGTTCGAGTTGGTCTTGTGTTGAAAATTTGTGGTCTCTTATGTGGTTAGATGAAGTTGGGGAGGGGGTATTGTTAAGTTAAAAGGAGATGCTGCACATGTCACCAAAAAAAGATAAACTTACGTGTGTACAGATATATTCACACACACACAAGAAAATGATAATTTCAAGGCAGAAACCTAAAAAGTATGTTGAAATAAAAACAAAACAAGAAACAAAAACACTGAACCCTATTACACCTTTCCAAGAAACACTCGACCCAACGGGACAACAGACCGTTTTTGAGCCCAGTCACTGGGTTTGAGGCTAGACAATCACCAGCGTCCCTGCTAACCCTAACCGAGTGGACTGTGATTTCGATAGGCGCAGTTTCAAACACTGCTGGCGGCTAAATTCTCGTCTTTTCCCGCCACATTTTGTGTTTCACGGTGTATGTATTTTTTCGAGGACATTGAGAGAACATTGTACCACATTTGAAAAACAAAAAGAGCAAAAAAATCCCCCAAAACTGTAACCTATTCTTGTTGGGTACGTGCGCGACAGAACGAATGAGACTGGAATGTTAGTCATCATTTTTTTTTTTACGATAAATTTTGACGGCGCCAGTTGATTAGCCGCGTGTCAAACGACAAAGTGCTTAGCTGTAGAAAATGATTTACAACAGAAAATAGCCAAAAAACATTCATTATTTACGCTCACAAATAGCGTGTTTACCGATGGGCAGGACACAGACATACAATTTAGCAAGTGTTAACATTGAACAATGTATTGTACATACCGCACGGTGCTGCGTTAGCTAAAAATAATTTATTTGAGAAAGATCTCAAGTAACATAGTCACAGTCGACGACAGTCACATCTTGACGATCGGATGGAATCCAAGATGACTTTGTTTTGGGGCACATTTTGGGGACAGTTTTTCACACCAAGGCAAAGAGACTGGCATGACTGACTCCAACCCGAACAACTCTTTTGGCTATGACTGAGAAGGACTTTACGCAGATTATCCCTGGGAGGGGGGAGAACAGTTGTCATTGTTCGCAAAATCGCGTCGAGGGCCGTTCAACGTCCCTCTCCTTTTTCGTTTCCCGTGTACGTAGAGCAGAAACGCTTGAATGGCAGGCACTTAACAGCCCTATTTCTCACAGTGGAAGATAACACAGAAAGGGTATGCAGCATGCATCAGAAAAATTGAGTGGAAACTTTCAAGAGGGGCCAGGAGAAGTTGAGTGCAAAACTTCAAAACATAGGTAGAGAATCACACTGTGGGGGTTTCCACAGTCCAACAGAGTGGCAGAAAATTTCTAGCTGATAAAGGGCGCGAGAATCGCACCAGCCGCATCAGCATCAGCAACATGGCTGCAGCCTAGGAGCGTTTTTTTGGAAAGGTGTATATCACTGCTTGGTTTTACCATAAGAACCATAGTAAAAGTTAGAAAAGACTTAAGAAATAATTAACCATAAAAGGACGGAACACAGGCAGCAGATGTCCATGTTTGTCCTTCTATGTATATAATTGTCAAGTTTTTACACTTATATACCAATGCTCTCAACAAAAAAAGTAAAAATTTACAGTGCGTTACTAATTTTTCTTTTCTGTGTTGTGAATTAAGATGCTTGTATGTTCATTTGAGATCTGCTGCTTTTGAGAAAGTATACTATAGCTTTTTCTCTGACAACCACAATCCTCTAAGATCCAGAACTATCTATGAAACTCTTTCTTTCTTGAGGTAATGAGTGTAGTTCGAGGAATCCCTGTGTTGTTAGTCTAGTTTTAATTGTAAATGTAAGACATCAGTTCCATTCAATCTATTCCAGATCGTAGCACGAGGATGCTAGCGGAGCAGACGTAAGTTGGTGGTTGGTTTTATTTCTTAAGAAGTGAAAAGTCGTTCAACTAGTTTTTTTGCTGTCGAAATCTTATGATTTGGGCCCATGACTTCATTTGTGCCCTGACCAGGCAAAATAAGCATGTATAGTATTATTTATCCGTGACAAGTTCTGCAAACGTTCTCCAAACATTAAGAGAAGAATATGCTGACAAAGATTAATTTCTATATGTATCGCATTCGAGGAAAATTAGGCCCTTACATGCGATAATGAAGTGGTGTATAGTGTATACCATGTATTTGGTAGCATAGGTCATGTTACAAGGCAGTTGCTGACAATAAGGTAAAAGTAAAACAGGCACATAGTAGTAGAGGAGGACTGCATCCCTGCCTAACAGGGGAAAGCTGATTACAATGCATAGTGCGCACGCTCGGCAGATTAATTTTGACTGCTAGAGTTTTGTCGTCACTTCTGATGAACTGCCCGAACGGTGTGTGAATAGTGAAGAAAGCACTGCTTGCAGATTGGCCTTCAATCTGCCCATAGTCGGCGACAGGATGTGCTAATTATTGCATTAACAAAAAATGCCCCAATCATATTCACCCAGGACCCACCTATCACTAATGGATAGCGATAAAACTAACGACAAATTTTCACCTTGTTTACATATATATATTTTCCAAACCCTTATTGGTTCATTGCTGAAATTTTGGTATGACTTCATGGTTCCGGTTTCAAATTATATTTACTGGAAATTCTGGCTTTTCATCTATGATTTTTTCTTCCACAGTCCTGCTGTGTCTATGATATCACTGCCAAGGTAAGTTTGACCATTGACTTCTTTAATAAAATACTCATAATATTGATTGCAATTTTTTTACTTTTTTTTTTCCCCGCAGTCATCAACGCATTTATGAATGGCAGGAGTCAAACAACGGACCAGCAATGGATGCAATGTCATATAGAAGCTACCCAACAATGAGGTGAAAGGCTGCGTCATGTTCGGGGTTTATGAAACCAACTGCCAAGGTGGGGGAAAGCCGAGATCCCTCGAGCTGATCTGCACATCTTTACTAGTGCCTTTGAGAACAATGAGGTGCCAGTGCCTGGAGAACAATACTTCTTGACTCTGGAAATCATCCAGCTTCAAAAGTGCAACCTCTTGTTTTGCGTGAAGGTTGCTTCGTAGAAGCCACTGTCTACAAGACTCTCGAGAAGTGAGTGTGATAGTGCTCCCTTGTGTGAAAACCTGCTTTGACAACTCGAGGCAGCATTAGCGAGTGCCAGATACTATACATATGAAAATATTGCTGTCATTTGATCTTGATGTTTTCCAGTGTAAGCTTTCGTGATGATGTGTTATGCATGTTTGAATACTAATCTGCTTGCTAAAGTGTACCGAGTGCTAAAATTCTGCGATATTTCTCATTTGTTTCCATTTATGTGAAGAAGAAACAAATGAACTAATTTAATTCCCTCGTCAGAAAGTAGAACTTACAGGCAGCTATCATAATAACCTTGGAATTATTTAAGAGTGTAATTGTGTCTTTTAAATGTGCTGACATACCTGAGAAGTATTTCCAAGCTCCACTATTCATGAGTAATCCACATCATGATTGCTTTACGTTGTTTCTGAGAATTATAAGTGCATGCCCAATTATAATTACTATCTTAAATTTCCGAAGGTACACATTTTTCAGTTTGCATTACGTAACCATGCTAACAGCAGAGTGGATTTGTATGTGTGTCACAACCAAGCAGGATATAAAAACCCTGTATTGGAGGCTGAGGTGGATCAAAAGTGTCCAAGTAGTATGTTGTATATAGTTCTGTAAAAATGTTTTTTTTTTTTTTTTTGACAATTGCACTTGTTGACTTGCAGCTGTTTTCAAGCAATGCGATGCCTTGTTAACTGACAGCCTACTAGGCGCTCTGAAGAGCTCTTTAAAATGAATCTGCTGTAGTATTGCTCACCTCCTTATAATGCTGGTACGTAATAAGTTATAAATAACAACTAATAGGCCTTCAAAAAAAATTAACATCTGTTACGGTTACCAACAGACCAAGAACATCTAGATCAGTGGTTTTGACAAATGCCTCAAGATACGTTGTGGTCTTCAGGTCGTTGACCTGATTTCGGCAGCTTTTTCGGCTTGTGCTTCAATATTGGTAACTAGATGTGTGAAAGTTATGCCTCCAAATATTTTTTTCACAAAGCTTTGGAGCATAAATGCTAATGAAATTGCACATAGATTATTACCACATTCTTCGCATACATTTTGTAACCTTTTCATGAAGCCTTCATCATTATCTATACTCTTTTGCCATCGCCGGGTAAGTCGCTTACCTTGAAATACCGAGCAAGTGGCCATTTAAAATTCAGACATCTGGAAATGTGCTTGTTAGGTCTTAGAACAAAAATGCGGAAGGGGCACACGATAGGACGGACTTTGCACTGTGGTGCTAAGAAAAGCGACTGATAAGTGTGAGAGCTCGGTTAGCTAGGCAGGCTCTTGATATGTCCTTCGCTTAGTTTTCAAACATTTCAAAAGTAGCCGGTGGGTGCTTATCATGACACGGGTGTATGCTCGGTGTTTTTCCGGTAATTTCATTATCATAAAAGTCTGCTTCAACTTTAAATATTGTCGCACATCCTTTCAACTTGTCGCCGTTTGACATGGGGCATTCTTCGAGAGTGTTTTTTTAACGGACTGCCACTTGTTTGGTCGGTTAAGAACATACTCAGGTTTGAAATTTAATTGAAAATTACTAAATGAGAAAGATGGCAGCAACAGTGCAGTTGGGTATCCGTAACCGTAATGAATATGCTAAAAATATTTTAAGGCATTACATTTGTGCTCCCCCCCCCCCCCCCCAATCATATTATGAAACAGTACTGTGAGATGGCCAGATACTTGACATAATTATGGGCAGTTACATGTAAGCTTACTCTTGCTTTTCTCCCAGATTGACTAAGTGAAAAGTAGTGGCATTTTCAATCTCGTACCTTGAATTGAGGTCATTGACTGTTACTACTTGTCCAGGATCATTGCAGAACCCTTTCTTTTTTGAGTAGCATCCTAAACAGTCTATTTATTTTTTTATGTGCAATGCTCGTTATTGCAAATATTGCGAACACTCGTTTAACTTTGAAAAATGGATAGCACTCCTCTTTATTAAGAATGTAGGTAGTAAAAATAATGTGTGTGTGATACTTAACCATTGACCCAGAGCTGGAATCTTAGTTTTGATCTGAGGTTATTGTATTATGTCTTCTAGTTTTTGCTCCCATGTTACTCATCAGTCATACGTTCCTTGCCATCAGACTTTTCTTTATTATTATAATTTAAGTAGCGAAACGGGCCCATGTTTTTGGCCTGGGAAGTACTAAAATAAAAACAAGAAAGAGAATGTGGATGTTGCATTATTGTGAGACTCAACCTTCAGATTTGCTGATGGGGTCTTTGTTCTTTCCTCAATTGTAACAGGAGCCCAGGTGTGAGTACCCGCCCACCCACTCATGCTTCAACTGAGGCACTTACAAATACAGATATGCATCTTTCCATATCTGTGTTTTTGTTACTTTAATTTCTTGCTAAGCCTGTCAGTGCAATCACTACGAGGAACACCCAGGACACGGCGTCGTTGCTCCATCAGTCCTTTCGGGCACAAATGGAGGATTCCGAAGACAGTTTTGTGGGCTAATCGGTCACACTTTATTTCTATAATCTCTATAAGTGAATAAATTCAGAAGGAGACCATGCAGATTCCCATCAAAAAAAGAAAATAGGCTGCCTGGAATACATCACAACTTGTTTCGTCAGTGTAAGGTACAAGCCTGGTTAGTATTGTGTCAATTTGACTTATACGAACACAACATTACACAAAACAACCACACGACGAGGTGGCTGGACCTATGTATTTGTTCTTTTTCTGGTCTCCATTTTTTTTATAAAACTTTGATGAAAGGGCCTTTTTCCCAACCTTTCTGCTTGGCACCTACTTGAAAAGCAACACGTTGGAAGTTGTCATGATTATTTTGTGGCGATCTGACTTCTCCGCGAAAAGGTTGAAATGACGCATAGAAGTTAAGTCCTTTTTGATGGCCAATGCAAAACAAATTTATATTTAGTCAAAAGGTCTCAGTGCAATGGCTTGTGTGCAGAGTGGCCACGAATGTTGATTTTCTCGTGATATATTGATATTTTTTTTATTTAACCCTTGAGAGTTTGGACACCACAGAAGGCCTGTGGCCCGTACCCATAGGTTTATGGTACGGGTCGAGCCGCCTCGTTCCGCGGTATTGCGTGGAATCGCCCAGTTCCAAATAAACTCGAGCTAACTTGGCAAAGGCGAAGGCTACAGTTTTTGTGAGCCAATCAGCACGTGGAAGGCAGACACGTGACTATACACGTGCCTCACTAGTTGTGCGCAGTGCTGTACGTCGAAGCCACGGGCGAGAGAGATAGGGAAAAGCCGCTTTTGTACGAAATTTGAGTGTCGTGCTAATCTCCGGTAACCGGACAAAAGCTCACCGGACAGAAGCTCACCGGACAAAAGCTCACCGGACAAAAGCTCACCCGTTTTTTGACAGACCCGGACAAAAGCTCACCCGTTTTTTGACAGACCCAAACAAAAGCTCACCTCGATTTCTTTTTTTTTTTACTATCCGGGCGAAACACGGGCTGAAATAAAGTGCGGACGCAATGGACATTGGACCATTTTTAGGAGAACTTGTACCTCATCCACCATTGAGTTGAGAATTTTTTTAAAAATACTTTGAAAGAACTGGAGTTCGGCCTTTTGGAAAAGTACAAGACAGATGACCAATTTAAAAAAATTGTGCGGGGTTTTAGATAGGCTCGGGTTCCTTCCACCACAGCTTGTTCCACAAGAACTGACCACCAGGGAAAAGTCTACCGGTGACATCGCTACCTACTGGACTATTTTGATTGCACGTATTTCAACGGCCGCTTCCGTTATGCTTCTGTTCCATCTGTGGCGGCACCCAGAGCGAATTCTTCCCTTCGCCTGACTCTGCGCCGACGGCGACCGGAGTTTCCCCCGGTACGGTGGAATATGTACGACACCACTCTTCAAGATAAAGACCGGATGAGCAACACCTGCGAAAGATAGAGTACCGGGTTCCAGAAGCCTGTCGGCCACGCCCATTCAAGTGTCTTGAGGCTGATTGAACGCCTACAGCAAAATCAGGCTCTCGTTGCCACGGCATTGACAAAAGTCCGGAGAGGTGAGCCCACCGTAAAGCGGGTGCGAAAAATTACTCTGCACCTGCAGAATCGTCTTAGAAATATTTGCGAGGGCTTGCATGTACATCGAGATCTACCAAGACTGCTGGAGCTAGTGGGGCACTGCATTCGCTTCTAACCAATCGATAAATAAACTTGTTTCTACTAAAATCAACAAACCATGCGCCTGTCAGATTTAATTTATCGTTGCCTTTTTGTGTCGCACGCATGTACCTAAGTTGTCCGCACTCGTGTTAAGACCAACATGAAATTTTCTCGTGCTGAGCTTTTGTCCGGGTCTGTGAAAATATGGGTGAGCTTTTGTCCGGGTCTGTGAAAAAATGGGTGAGCTTTTGTCCGGTGAGCTTTTGTCCGGTGAGCTTCTGTCCGGTGAGCTTTTGTCCGGTGAGCTTTTGTCCGGGATTCCTAATCTCCAAGGGGGACAAAGCCAACGTCTGAGACACAAGAGAAGGCTCCAAGTCTTCTCCGACTGCTTGGATTACGATCTTGCCCCTGTACCTTTCGTAAGGGATGTAACGTGCTTCGCTCTTCGCCAAGTTACAGTCAAATTAATTATATGATTGAGTAAAAGGAGATGTGGGGAGATAAACTGGGCTAATCGCTTACGCCATATAAATCCGGTGCTGCCGGATCACTCTGTCTCTCCTTCTTTCGTGTAAAGCTGATTGTCCATGCCCTGCTAGAAGTATTTGGACACAGATGAAGGAAAAGGAAATGGTAAGCCGAGCGTGATGGCGTAGGTCGACGTTACGATGATGGACGTATGATCGTGCAGGGCAATTAAAGTGAAGAAGGCAGTGCAATAAAATGTCTGTTAACTTGGACAGCTACGGTGTGGATCCAATGGTGGCCGTAGGTGGTGCACGTATTGTATGAAAGTATGAAGATAAAAACTCACCCGAGTTAACAAAAAAAAAGAAACTATCTTTTTATGCACAAACTTTTTGTTCGTGAAATCGTCAAATAGCATTATGGCCCTTGGTGCGTTTTTTATGGCGTAAAATTGAGTGGAAAGGGAAAGAAATAAAATCGGCTTACATTCTTGTCCCCAATCATTTTGGTGAAATGCGCCACAAAAGCTCACCATTCCGTTTGGATGATTTCCCTCGAACGACTCCTGGATTAAGTGAAATCATCCAAACTGAATAACGAGCTTCTGTGGCGCTTAATTTATATTATAACAGAGTGAACTGTGTTATGTTTACACAGAATACCGGTCACAGTATTCAGCTTCAGGGTCTCCCCAAAATATCCCGCAACGATTATGATTGCAACCACCTGGCCCCGCCGTGTGTCTGTTCGTGTGAGCAGCCTATTCATGCTCCAGCTGCTTGTAACCATGAGGCACCAGCAGGGTTGCCATACATGCAGTTGTCTACTATCGCGGACAGTATGAGCTTAAACAGTCCTGCATGCTTCTTTGGCGAATCTGCCGGCTTCTGAAAGTGCTTTTTGGGTCAAATGGATGGAAAGGAACGTTGACGTCCCATTCTTTTAATTCGCCGTCAAATCGAGAGGTAGAGAAGCTTGTGGAAACCGCAGACGCAGAGAAATTCTGGATTGGGTGTTTTAGCTCACATCGTCCGAGCGGGTATGCTTGGCAATGTATGAGTTTCACTGGTGTAATTTTGAAACAATCGGAGCAGACACGAAACGTTTAAAGGGGCACTGACACATGAAAATATATTTATTTTTTTTTATTATCCGAAACGATTTAAAACGATGCCGGGACATTACCCTGAAAATTCGAAACTTGGGTATTCAGCATTTGTGAAATAAAAAAAAACAATTTCCAAATGCCGAATTTGAAGTTGCCGTGCGATCCGCGCCAGTGCAGTGACGTCAAGTTTTGCGGTCTCCTGCGTGTCGACTTTCTTTCGCACCTCCGCTCCAAACCACCGCGACCGGAAGCGAGGAGGTGAGGAGCGGGAGAGAAGGGCGCCGGCGGACCGGAAAAAATCGGTTTCTTCGTCCGGTTCCCCGACTCACCGACCATCCTCTGCTCGAGCACCGCTAACTTTTCCGAGGGAGGATACAAATCCGGGAGGCGACGTCACACCGGACTCTGATTTTTGGTATTTCAAAAAGGAGGGCCGAACATGTTTTACGACTGCCGTTATTAAATGTTATAGAAATGTCGCCTACAGAGCTTCTAAATTTCATGATTTTTGACGTCGCCACTCAAAAGAAGCGAGGAGGTGAGGAGCGGGAAAGAAAAACGCCAAAAATAAAAAAGCGCGCGCGCGTGAGAATTTTTTTTTTTTTTTTTTGCGATGCGGGTTTTTTTTTTCTTTTTTTTTGCGTGTTTATGACTACAACTTGCATCGTTTTAGATAATAAAAAAACGACCTTTAGGGTGTCAGTGCCCCTTGAAGGAGCAGTTGCTCTTCGATATAATAGGGAATCGTGTAATATTTGATCGAACCCACTGAACTTTGTTAGGCTATTTGCTCTCAAATATATGTTTCAGGTTTCATGTATTTGAGGTTTTCACAATATTTACACTGTAGGTTAAATGGAGTTTTGTATAGATGCCATAGGCCCAGAACTGGGCTAGAGCGGCGGTTACATCAAATCATCAAATGCATGTCATGCACATGCACCGCAGTTTTTGCAGGAGTGGTGTCGCCGCTTTCAGCAGAATCCTTGCGCAACACATAATTGTCCTCTTTAGACCTTTTAAGAGGACTGTTCCGATTCTTTCAAAGCTGGAAAAGAAAAAGTGTGGGAGCATCAGTAAAATATTTACAACATTGTGCAGCAAGACACGCTGTAAGTTTTCTTATGCAGTGGAAAAAAAAAGCTATTGGTACTTTCTGACACTGTCAGCCGAGCTACTGGTTCACTACTAGTCAGGCACGAATCTGCCCTGTGCTCCCGCCTTGCCTCGATTAACTACTTGTTATCGATATAGTTCGAATGAACAGCATAAATGTTCTGTTAAACGTGACATGATATTGTCACTATTTTCACTAATTTTAATGACTTCATAACTCGCGGCTCGTTTTCAGTTGTCGGTATTCGAACATGAACACTGTTTTTTTATTAAATACTTGTACTATCCCACTCGTGGGTTACTAATATATTTGCTGTGGGCTTTTGAAATCGTACGGCTAGATAACTATAGACCCGAACAAAAGTATATTATCAAGCTAGCTCACTAAGTGAGCCAGCTACGACCATGTACGGCCAAGATAAACTATCCTAAGTCAAATGAAACACCACAAAAGACTGTCGGGCGCGTCCCTCTGTGTTTATTCTTCAAGGTTATCAAGCTCCGACTTGCCCACGTGACTGGATGCATGTCATAGCCACCTTTGAAACTTGTGTGAGATTGCCCGAAAAACGGGTGCTACGGTGGGAATTCTGCTGCGACTGCATATGGGTCAGTCACACACACATTTGCTCACTCTTTCAACAAACTTCCGATAAAGAAGATGACTAAGGGTCATTGGAGCTCACCTGATTTTCCAGTTTTCGATGTACTGTATCAAGTGTCGCATGCTTATGATTTCCTTTTTGTGACGAACATGATATGGTTCCAACAGTTGGCCTTCATGTTCTCTTGCTGTTGCGATTGGAAACAATTGTGATATTTCATTCTTACCGCTGAACATATGATTTCTTTCAAACAGCGAAACAAGTCTTACCATTGTTTGAAGTCTGGTTCTCAATTCCCTTGTCAGCATCCGTTTTGTTTACGAATACATACATGTAACAAGCTGGAGAGTGCTTTAATGGAGTCACCGTGTGATATACTCCCGTAATTATCTAATATCATAACGAGAGAGAGAGAAAAAAAAGAAAAAAAAGGACAGAGTTCTTACTTGAAAGCACCGAAGACAATGCATTTATTTTACGCGTAAATGCATGTTTTTGATGACGTGTCATAACTAGACTAAATAGCATCGCGCAATGACTCACGTTCGCTCTTTGTCCAGACTTCAAGACCACGCTCGACTTTGTGGATGCAGACCACAGGGATACTGTTCCATGCAGAACTTCCAAGCTGGCATTTTCGATAGTTGTTTCTAGGTAGTTTAACAAGGAGAAGCCTAGGAAATAAATAAAATAGCTCGCAGTTCTGTACTTTAGAAAGTATGAATCCGATCGTTTTCATTAATATTTTTATTAAGAGGCAGCGCAGATGTCTCATGAATGCAATTCCCTTGCGTGTCTTGTTTTCTAACTTGCAGGCTTTACTATATCTTGTACCATTTTCGGACGGGTTTAAACATATAGACAGGAAGAACACAGTCTTCGATCGATTTATCGCAAACATGTTTGGTCATTTACAAAACACGTTGTTGCTTGGCGATAAACCGATAAAGGACTGATTGCTTTCTACCTACATTTTAACCCCTTGATCTATATCGCATGTTTTCACTGACGTAATTTCGTCCACCATTTTGTTGTTGTGAACTGTCTGGCGTGTGCTGAAGGCGACCAATCCAAGGGTTTTCATGACCCCTCATATTCGTAGAGCATATAAGCTTATAAGTCTTACAAGGCTGACATATTCTCAACAGGTTGCGATGTAATCCTTCAAGTTCGTAATTTTGTTTGAATAAAACAACGAAATGGCGGATTGACGTCATGTGAAAACACCCTATAGGCTAAAGACGTCCGCACTACATACTTATACAGTACGAATTCAATTACAGTAATTGGAAGTAAAGGCACGATCTATCTGTACAGCGAAATGTAATAGCTCACGCGAACGGTGGTATGAAATAATCCGTTGTTACAAATGTCTGTTTTGTTGCAAAAGATACACTCATTCATAGTTGAGAATTTGCGAATAGTAGATCTTTCTTCTTTATGGTCTCTCACTTATGTTGCAAAGCACGAAAGCAGTCAGTGCTATGTGTACTTCTGATTCACAATGCATGCTTGCCTGTGATGAGCATTTTCACGATAATAGGGAATTTTTTAAGCTACTTGCTGGTGCGCACAACGTCTACAATACAGTATAACTTAGGAAAAAAAATTAGTGCCCTCTGTTATAAAAGAGTTGTGTAGACAGCATAATCAAAAGTAGGTGCTTCTTTAGATTAGGCTGTCTACACGACATAGCATGATGAGTTTGCTTACCCTAAATATTCCTGCAGACACTGCGTGCCATTCACTGCTGTTTATGAAAAAAGCTGAAGTCGAAAAATGTATTTGAAGCATCATGACCAGTATCAGTTCTGCGGGGCAAGACTAAGCACAACGTTCACAATACTTTATCCGAGCTTGTCATTTTTTTTTTTTTTAGCTTTGCAGATTGCAGTGATTAGCCCTCTGAGTACTTCATTGAAAAGTAGACGTAAGGGCATTTGGGATTTCTAGTCTATAAAGGGCGCGTACCAGAATTACAGGTTGATATATAATGCAAATAGTAAGATATATCTGTACATTTTTTACCTGGAAAATCTGCGATGAACTCGACATCAGCCATAACTGACGTATTGAACACCTCATTTCGAATTTTCTCTAGGTTGCTCCTCCAGTCATTGAGACTGGTTAACACTGGGAGTACCCAGGGAACCCCTGAGAAGGGCGACCAGGGCTGCTCGAGGATGTTAATTGTAGGATCGTACATTCTGTAAAGCAGGAAAAAAAGAAAGAATATATATATATATATATATTAATATTGAGTACCATTAGTGTATTCACATGTTGTTTCCTCTGCGCGGGAAACATTGCAATCAACGAAGTTTAGCTTTGTGTTGTCATTATGATTATTATCTTGTCAAAAGTAATTTTGTAACTTGCATTATGCATTTTTTTTTTCATCTTTAATATATTATGTTAGTCCTGCGGTTTCTTGTATATGCATATAAATAACGTTCGTATGGTCTACGGGTTCAGGATGATATATTCAGATCTGAAAGCCTCATTGTTACTTGGCCGTAAAGGTACAGAGGCGTTGGCACGTAAGAACGAAGTTAAAAACCGCGTAAGTTGCGAAAGCTAGAACGCTTTGCCTGTTTGAGTAGTTAATAGAATTAAACACGTTCTAGGGGCAACTTCTATAGAAGGAACGGTCGTTCAAACCTTTGAGCGAACCGTCCGTTCAGCGACATCCAGACGTCGATGTAGAACTCCACGTTCTTCATTCCAAACTCCTGGCGGACTCTGTCCCGCACACAATGTGCGAATTGAACTACCATATCTGCCTGGTGGTACCATCTTGTGGAGGTAGTGAATTGCTGCAAGAATAGGAATAATTTAGATACGTCTGTTAGGCAAAATAGTCTGCGCAGTTTTTTTTGTAGAATAGGGATTTTGCATACGGATTCTTTAGTATTTGGTTTATACTGACCCCAGGGACTTTTAGCCTAAAACTGGTGTGACGTGCTCGCAGTGCATGCTCTGCCGTGATCAATGTCGCGACAAAGGGGACTTCTCCGGCTCCGTGCATGTCCGTATACTTATAATTATTGTAATTATAATAAAAAATGAAATGTAATAAAACGAAATATAATAATAGTTACTATAGATCTGTGCCATTATAAAGGAAGGCGATTAAGCTCGCCAAATGACGATGTTGAATTTACAGTAAATCTGCTTATGTACTGTAAAAAAAAACACTTGCATTTGCATTTGCTTTCTGTAAATAGAGGCAGTCACCGCTATCTACAGAGAGAGCTCAAGTAAAAAAAAAATATTTTTACCTAAAAACGATGTTTGCGATGTGACTAAGCGATGGCTTTTTTTTTTCGAATTTATCATTGAGCCGCGAAAAGGGAAATTTTATGAGCATGTTCCGAGTATCAATGGGCGCATCATGATCACTTTTTTTTTTAATTATCTCGGGGCAAGTGCTTTTTTCTGTGTATAGGAGCGGGAGGTGAGCAGGATCAATATACACCAAAGCCTCACATCGGGTAACAGGTTAGCGATCCGTACCTCGGGGTTCAGAAAGTGCGCCTTGCCGGTGCTGTTATCGTAGAGCACAGTCTTGATGTGAATGGGCCGCCAGTTGTGGACCATCATGTCCCAGGAGTAGCCGTAGCTTCCTTCCGTCCAGGTGTTGTAACCCTTGGTGATGCCGTGTGAGTAAGGCAGGAAAAGTTGGAGCGCAAAGTGCAGGCAGATGAAGAACGTTGTCATCTTCCACTTGCGGAGTTGGCGCATCGGGGGCGGTCGGCCTTCGTCGCGACCCTAAATACAAAAAAAAAGTAGTGTTTTTAAGTTGAGTAAATATTTTGCGCGTCAAGGGCGGTTTTCTGCACAGGGGTGCGCAAGCAGCTCCATCCCAGGGGTTCTCCAGGAATGCTCTGGTTTTAAAAGTATTTAAATAAGGGTATACCTGATGCCCTATTTATCGCAAGATGTTATGGCGCTGCGCACCTGTACCTAGAGGCCGTTGTCCCACCTTTTCTCTTTGTTTCAACAACGCATAAAGTTGGGCGAGTTAGTTTGACATCATGAAAAGGGGAACAGCGCGAAAATAAAGGAGGGACGAGAAGAAGAGGTGACGACACAAAGAGGGGTCTCTTGGTGTCATTTGATCGTTTCACCAAGGCCATACATATCGTACTTGTAAAATGCACTGTTTTAGCAACTATAGGTATCACCTCGCGTTTGTTGTTTATTCGAACTGATATATGGTCGGAAAGCAGGCAGCCATGGCAGAAACTCGGACTAGTTTTTGTTGAACCTATACGGAGGGCAAGTTCGTCTGCTTCTCGCGCAGGGGGTAGCGGTGACGTCAGAACGCCGAGCCCTGATTGGCTGATCGCGCCCCCCTATCTGAGCGTCGTCTGCTCCTTTGCAACGTCGTCTGCTCGCAACGTCGTCTGCGTCTGTCTTGCCTTTTCTGCGACTTTCGGAAGTGCAGAGGCGATCTTACGCCAAAAATGTGCGTAAGACAAAACTTAAGAACAAATTCGTATTCACGAAACGAAATTTTCGAAAGTTTTGCGCAGGTTACGACGAAATTCTGCGACAGCTCCGAAGCTGTCTTACGCACTTCTTACGATCAAATCAGCATGGCCGACAGCGTCGCGGTCGCGACGACCCACGGACGTTTACTTTTTTACGTGCGCTTCTGACGCGTCCCGCCTTCAAGCAGCAAGAAAAAAGTAAAAAGTACTTGAAACAGACCACGACGAACAAGAACGCTGGATCCACAAACACCCGGGAAAAGCTCCCACGGCCACGATCCCACCGAACGCGACCAAACGAGCTGGGCAGTTAGGCCTAGCAGGCACTCCGCGACTCGGCGACCGTCTGCCCACGACCGGCTGGTGTGCTGAGTGGAATATGCCCGCGCGACCCTTGTGAACCCTTCCCATATTATACTTTGATCGCTGACCTCAATTTTAGATTAAGGGGTCAATTTCTTCCGCTTGTTATCTCCTTGTTTCCCGAGGCAACGGTGACTCTCGCCGATGAAAAAGCGGTGAATCTCCGACAGACGCAGCAAAGGTAAAGCAGCCATCGCTTTGACCGCTTTGCCTAGCAGACGTAAAGCAGACGACGTTAACTGCGCCAACCCGCCGACGCCGTTAAAGAGTGAGGGGTCTCGCCGCAGACGAATGGAGGGGAAAAGTATTTGGGAGGGAACTTGCCTCGGTTCTAAGCAAAAAAACCTCGGCGCCTCGGGACACCTCGCCAGTGAGTCCTTTGACTTCCCTCCTTGATGCTCGTCTGCTAGTTGTTAGACAAAAAGAACGTACCGCTCGAGTTATTTCGTCTGCCCTCTCTTAAAGGCGAGGTCGAGTTCGCTCCGAAAGTCGCAGGAAAGGTAAGACAGACGCAGACGATGTTGCGAGCAGACGACGTTGCAAAGGAGCAGACGACGCTGAGATAGGGGGTTGCGATCAGCCAATCAGGGTTCGGCGTTCTGACGTCACCGCTACTTCCTTTCTTATGCGCAGAAGACGAAAATGAGCCCACTTGCGAGGCGTATAGGGTACAAAAGAACCGATCGCTGACAGACGTCGTGGTAAAATTGGTAGCGAGTATAAAAACACGGAGCCTCGTCAGAGAGTGTTCTCATGTTGTAATTGTCCGTTTTTTTTTATCGCTTTTGTCGTTTGGGAGGTGTTACGAGAAAAAATATCGCAGGTTTTTTTTTTTTTTTTACTGGTCATAAAACCGTTATCTGCAGCACTAAAGCCGAAAGGCTGAGTTTAATTGGACTTTCAGCCAGCGTTTATGTCTTGCCGAAATGAAGCTCTGAAATGGCTGAACTTTGATCCTCTTTATATATCTGAAAGAGTTGGCCGTATAGCAACAGAAGCTAAAATGATCAAGGCTTGTGCTCTAGATTTTCTACGTCGTCACAGCCTGACACTGAGCGAAGACTGGACATGCTTCAGCGTTCGGCTTGGGGCCGTTTCTAGACAACACGTCGAAGGACGCTCGGCGTCATGTTTCGGGTAGAGGAGGCTCTTCGCAGGCCTTCCTCGATTATTCTATGGGGTGTTGACATTATTCATTTGTGCCACACGAGGAGGCAACTGCAGCTTACTTTCTGGTGTTAATCTGTAAAATGTCGGCGCCAGATCGTTTTCTCGTTAAACTGCGTAGTGCAATCTCATCGGAGTTTCGGCTGTGGCTCGCTCGACGAACGGCAACAATATATCATCAGTACCCGAGGCAACAACCCTTATCGGAGTATGCATCTCCGGATCGGGGTAGTCGGCCACTGAAGAGATCGTAGGTATCTAAGTGTGAATTAAAAAAAAGGTCTTTACCTCGGTCTCTTTATCTATACGTAAGGTCCGTGTGGATGCATACCCCGATCCGGAGTATGCATCTCCGGATCGGGGTAGTCGGCCACTTAAAGGGCTACTCCACCGATTTTTTTATTGTCTCCGATTTGCTTGAAATTTTGCTAAACTAACCAACAAACATCGCGAAAATAGTATCCCAAATATTAGGTCAAAATATTGTTTTTTCGCGAAGTTATTGAATTTACAGTTTTGGTCCTCACCGTGTTTTTCAAGCTCAAAGTCTCTACTGGCAACAATGAAAAAGTGACGTCAGTGGAAGGCAGGGGTTCACTCTTTGGGCTGTAGATTTTGTTTTAAACTGATTCGAAGCAGTTTCGTGGTGTCAAATGAATGCTTGGGAAGCTCGCTGCAGTACCCGCGCTCCAGCACGGAACAAATGATTGGCATATTCTATTTTTTGGCTGCTTGCTCGACTGGCAAGCCTGCCTGCCACTGACGTCACGGCCCTGAAAAGCGCGCGTATATTTGAATGTTGGTTTTTGCATCATTTTCATTTGCCGATTTCGCAATAACTATTATGAATTTCGCGATTCTAAATAGCATACCGGAGAGAGTAAAGGCCGGGGAGTCAGAAAATATAGTTAGTTGAGGTAGCTCAAAAAATCGGTGGAGTACCCCTTTAAGAGATCGTAGGTATCGAAGTGTGAAATAAAAAAGGTCTTTACCTCGCTCTCTTTATCTATACGTAAGGTCCGTGTGGATGCATACCCCGATCCGGAGTATGCATCTCCGGATCGGGGTAGTCGGCCACTTAAGGAATCGTAGGTATCGAAGTGTGAAATAAAAAAAGGTCTTTACCTCGCTCTCTTTATCTATACGTAAGGTCCGTGTGGATGCATACCCCGATCCGGAGTATGCATCTCCGGATCGGGGTAGTCGGCCACTGAAGAGATCGTAGGTATCTAAGTGTGAAATAAAAAAAAGGTCTTTACCTCGGTCTCTTTATCTATACGTAAGGTCCGTGTGGATGCATACCCCGATCCGGAGTATGCATCTCCGGATCGGGGTAGTCGGCCACTGAAGAGATCGTAGGTATCGAAGTGTGAAATAAAAAAAAGTCTTTACCTCGCTCTCTTTATCTATACGTAAGGTCCGTGTGGATGCATACCCCGATCCGGAGTATGCATCTCCGGATCGGGGTAGTCGGCCACTTAAGAGATCGTAGGTATCTAAGTGTGCAATAAAAAAAGGTCTTTACCTCGCTCTCTTTATCTATACGTAAGGTCCGTGAGGATGCATACCCCGATCCGGAGTATGCATCTCCAGATCGGGGTAGTCGGCCACTGAAGAGATCGTAGGTATCTAAGTGTGAAATAAAAAAAGGTATTTACCTCGCTCTCTTTATCTATACGTAAGGTCCGTGTGGATGCATACCCCGATCCGGAGTATGCATCTCCGGATCGGGGTAGTCGGCCACTTAAGAGATCGTAGGTATCTAAGTGTGAAATAAAAAAAGGTCTTTACCTCGCTCTCTTTATCTCTACGTAAGGTCCGTGTGGATGCATACCCCGATCCGGAGTACGCATCTCCCGATCGGGGTAGTGAAATAAAAAAAGGTCTTTACCTCGCTCTCTTTATCTATACGTAAGGTCCGTGTGGATGCATACCCCGATCCGGAGTATGCATCTCCAGATCGGGGTAGTCGGCCACTTAAGAAATCGTAGGTATCTAAGTGTGAAATAAAAAAAGGTCTTTACCTCGCTCTCTTTATCTATACGTAAGGTCCGTGTGGATGCATACCCCGATCCGGAGTATGCATCTCCGGATCGGGGTAGTCGGCCACTTAAGAAATCGTAGGTAGCTAAGTGTGAAATAAAAAAAGGTCTTTACCTCGCTCTCTTTATCTATACGTAAGGTCCGTGTGGATGCATACCCCGATCCGGAGTATGCATCTCCGGATCGGGGTAGTCGGCCACTTAAGAGATCGTAGGTATCTAAGTGTGCAATAAAAAAAGGTCTTTACCTCGCTCTCTTTATCTATACGTAAGGTCCGTGTGGATGCATACCCCGATCCGGAGTATGCATCTCCGGATCGGGGTAGTCGGCCACTTAAGAAATCGTAGGTATCGAAGTGTGAAATAAAAAAAGGTCTTTACCTCGCTCTCTTTATCTATACGTAAGGTCCGTGTGGATGCATACCCCGATCCGGAGTATGCATCTCCGGATCGGGGTAGTCGGCCACTGAAGAGATCGTAGGTATCGAAGTGTGAAATAAAAAAAGGTCTTTACCTCGCTCTCTTTATCTATACGTAAGGTCCGTGTGGATGCATACCCCGATCCGGAGTATGCATCTCCGGATCGGGGTAGTCGGCCACTGAAGAGATCGTAGGTATCGAAGTGTGAAATAAAATAAAGGTCTTTACCTCGCTCTCTTTATCTATACGTAAGGTCCGTGTGGATGCATACCCCGATCCGGAG